CGAACCCGCGTCAACTATGATCTATTTCGTGTGTAATCCGGCAAGTGGCACTAACGCAAACATTAGGTTTGCTACTCGGATTTCCAACACCGTAAGGATGTTTTCCAAATAAGTTGGATAAGGAAAGTCGTGTGATGTTCACACCAATTTTTTTACAACTTTTTTTCATGAACACATTCATGAATCATTTAACAGACACTGAACTTAAACAAATTAATTTTATTTCGTTAGTTTTCTTCTAATAGATATACAGTGTTCGCTAAAAACAATTAATATTGAATTCATTGATGTATACTCCCATTAAATATAATCCAGTTGTGGTTTTTTAATTTCCCTGATGCATTCGAAGGAAAATTTGTTAGTTAATGAACAATGTTTTTACGGAACACTTTGTAAAATATAAACGTATTAATAATAAACAACTCATTATTAATCGGCGATAATAACTTCTACAATTATGATAATTAACGTTCGTTAATAAGTTTAGCATATAAAAATACTTTTATAATTTCCGTCATAACATAGAAAATCAAAAATTAAATCCCCATATACAGGGTGATTCACAAGGAATAATGAGCCTGACCAAATTTTCGATGCAACCAACATTACAGTTGTCGCAAAATAACTTGCGAAGCATAATGGTGGTTGCATCGAGAATTTGGTCAGGGTCATTATTCCTCGTGAATCACCTTGTATATTTTTTAAGTACCTAATAAATACAAAAGTATTGATTTAAATAATAAAAATAACTAAAAATATGAAGCATGAAAGCCCGAAAATTTAGACAAAATATAAATAATGAAAATGCAAATGTAATTAACATTCTTCTTTTTCCTTCCGCCCAGCCGTGCCAAACAGTTACTTAACCATTTATACACAGGCCAATTTTCTCCACTCTTTCTCCACACACACATGCATTACTTCGGGGACGAAACCTTCCGACAGCCCCCCCAAGTAATCTGCTAATGGGTGCGGGTGCCAAGTGCGATACGCGTTATGAATTCGATTAGCGCCGCCGGACCGCACCCATTCATCCACATTACGTGACAGTGTAACTGCAGCGACCGCCACCTCGACGACAACTTCCATCGTAGACACAAAAACCAAAACCGTCCAAAAAATGAAATTGAAAAAATTCGGAAGCGAATCGCCCTGGATTATGACACAGGGTGGTGCATTGCGGTGTCAGGTCGACAGATGTGCAGATGAGTAGATAAGGGCGCGTATGTCTATCTGCCCTGTCACCGGCCCTCTCATCCGACACGGCTATTTAATATTTGATACTCATTATTATTAGACCAGTTAGGGGATTCGACGACCTCCATGGATGAGGTACATAAACAGACAAGCCGCCAGGGTACGGATTTAGGCTCTTTAATTTAGGATCCGCAGCAGATTATCGGAAAATAATAGATTTTTAACGAGTGGCGGCAGAGGGGAGAGTGCTTCCAAACACTTTGACAATATCAAAATTATACGATAATAAATAAATAAAAATAATAAAGTTTTGCCACTTTGCCACTTGAACCATCAACTGTTTCGTTGGGTACAGAAAACTTCTTAATAAGAAAAGATTTAAAAATAACAAAGCTTATAGATAATGAAATTTTATCCAGGTGCACATCGAAAGTGGATTAAAACTGAAACATGTCTTGACTGATTTCTACGTCTCAAGTTTCAATTAACGGTGTGATCCATGTTAAGATTCCTATTAAAAGTTGGTGTTCGAGATTAGCTGAATGTTTGCATATAAACTCCAGTAGCAGCAAAGACTTCGTTCTGTGTACCTTACATTTTCAAGTAAATCAACTTAGAATCCCGTTATTATAAACACATTTTAATTATAGCCGTGTACACAATGTTCTCATCAGAGACGACAAGCAAGAATACCTATTACATCTTTACTCCACATCAAACAGTAAAGAAAATTTCGAATCTGTCAGTGTGCAAGACAAAAAAATCTAAACTGTTCATAACTTTCCCATGCGTTAAGAAAAATAAGAAAAGATCTCAAAAAAAGCCTGATCATAAATTCAAGATGCAAGAGTAGTTGAAGCTTTCATCGGTTCTGCGTAGTCCACTCGAAAGCCTCGATGGGTTCTGAGAAACGCGCTTCGGTTTATTTAGTAATCGAGATCACGGTAATCGAATGTTGACCTCTCAAAAATCCCACATAAAATTAACAATGCAACCAATATTAATAAACGTAGGTGAGAAGACAGATTTAGCTTCTGAACTAGTAATCACTAATGTAATGTAATTATGAATTCGTGGCTAAAAATTTTAATTTTTACTCCCGAAAATTCTATTTTGCATCTGAAAGAATAGACTTATTCTAAACGCAAAATAGAATAAGCTTATTTTGATACCAAAACATATGCTTTCATGAGCCATTTCAACACCGATTCGGGTGCTGAAATAGACTAGTGCAATTTACTTTTTACAGGTTGTCAGCGGCGTTTTGAGCGATTACTCTTTTTTCAGGTGGTATGCATGAAATATTTGCAGTATTCATTGTTTATTCAACAAAATTTTGACAAATACTTGACACTTTGTGACATTTATTACCAACCACAAACTTATTAGAGCAAGAATTCCTAAATTTTGAAAAATTGACTTTTATGTTAAAAAAGTACGTAAAACACGCAAAATAGAAAATATAGCATACAAAACTTGTTTCATAAGTCATTTGTGTTATAAAACTCGCCCTTCGCTGCTCGTTTCAAAAACTTGAACTCGTTCCACAAAACAACTTGCCTTACGAAATGCATTCTTTAATATACTATTTTTTTTATAATTGTTCAACTTTCTTTAATACAAATGTTGAATACCTAATTTTCCTAAAAGTCCTAAAGTTTTGAGCTTTAGAATTGTTTTAGATATTTATAACTTTTTCAAAAACTTTTTCTGTTTTTTAAACTAAATGTAACCATAATTGATAATATAAACAACAATAAATAATCTATAATCCAATTATTGATAGTGGGCCATTGTCCATTATTGCATCAGGAACGATTTCTCCAAAAATTCGACGTTGTAATTGTTCTCATTTCAGGCCTCCCATCTCTTGTACATTTTTCTGTTCAATATTGACCAAAACTCTTCAGTTGATCGAGCCTGAGGTTGTACATTAGGAGAATTGTCTATTTTAGGTACAAAATTTATATTGTTTTCGTTTAACGGTTACAATCATTTTTTATCCCTCAAAATTTTAGGTCGACCACTTTTGAACAAATTAACACAGGGTATACACACTCTTCACATTCCTTTATGGTCCGATAAATTGTTGTTACAGAAATATATTTTTTTTTTCTATAAATTGCAACAATTTCACGCTTAGGGATTCCTCAACTAGAATGTGTACCATTAACGAACATCTATCTGCCTTATAAAACATTTTCGAAAACCCGATTCAAACAACTAAACTGCCATAACATAAACAAGTTAATTGTCATATTTTTCTTCCAGCAACAACTTATTTAAAGACCATTTGGTATAAATAAAAACTTCTAAAAAAATTCCCAAAACTTTAGGACCATACGTTATGAGTAAAAGAATGCTTTCTAAGTTTCTAAAAACGAAGTTTTTAATAACAGGGTGCAACTATTGTAGCAGTTGGAGTACGGCAAGCAAAGCGAAGAGTGCTTCAACGAGAACAGTACAATAACACGACTCATAAAAAACGTAAAACTTTTAAAAAATTTCAGTTTATCTAGTGTTGCCACATTCAGACCATTCTAATTTAGACATAGAATTGTTACAAAATAACAATGTCAAACATTTAATCGTAATATACTAAAAATAAACAACGATAATAATAATAGCGTTTTTAACTACATCAAAAACTATTACAAGCTTCTTTAATTCCTGGTTATTACGACACTGTCTTTAAGTAAAATAGTTTATGTCTAATGATGTAAATTTTTAATTAGTAGAATCAGGACCACAGGATCTCGTATATGATATTGCTTTCACTAAGCAGCTTTCATCTAAATGATGATATTGGTATTGAACTAGGTTATTATAAAAAGTCATTAGTTTTAATATTGGTAACATCACATTGTCAAAAACCAACTTGACCAAAAAATGCTATTCTTGTTTTTACGTCGATGTTGAATAATTTTTAGATACATTGTTCTCCATTTTTTTTTTTTGAATTAAAAATTTGGGCAACTCTCCCTTTACGTTCAGCATAAAATTAGGACTTTTTGTGCCTCTAAATTGTCTGGATTTGTTAACACCTAGAACAAATCACGTGTAAATGGCAAAAGTGTCAAGGGCGTCGCACACTACCATTTTTATATAAACCCGTAACACACACAGTTACTAACCCTATGTTAATTTCGCAAATCGATTGTGAAAAAAGCTCCGAATTTACATCGAGCGCCGATAATGGCATGCATGCACTTCATTTAAATTTGATGCATGCGTTTTAAAGTGACCCATATGCCGCGTTTGCTACTAAATCACAGTGAACCCCCTTCATTTATTTAATAAAACCCTCCTTCAAATTCACGTCACGTTCGATTGTGACGACTTTATTTAGACGAATTAGCACCGGTCCGTGCCCTCTAATCTCGTCGCGCTCGCTACCAAAAGGAATATTCGATGAGCGGTGAGAAAACGTCGTTTTATTTTTTCTTTTCGGCGTTTTTTTCCCTGGACGCTAGAAGGAAAACAAGGGTTTTGACTTTCCGGGGACTAAAAACAATAGTGGGACACCCCGACAAAGGAACAGTCGGTTTCTTGTGTGGAGTGCAACACAAACACGATTTGTGTAAATAGAAAGAGGGACGGACGGAGGCCGATTGTCTGCGACAGACATTTCTTTTCTATTCGATCAGGTTACCGGTGTTAGAAACTGTGCTAGGTCTCACTTAACAAAAACGAACAAATTTTTCAAGCTATTCTCTAAACATAAAATTGCCCCAATTATTTTCATTCACCATCTGTGTTATTAATTGTCTAAAATTGTATAAAAACAAAGACAGTCTACTTACCTAACGATGTCGTGAAGTCGATGAGCTGGAACAGTTTTCGGCGTGTTTCTCAACACTGTAGCCAAAAGCTGCATCAATGCCGTACAAAGATTATCCGTTGGTGGTAAATCTTCCGAACATCCCAAACTCTACAATAAAAAATCTAATAAACTTCAAAAACTTTATCGCTACATTTTTTTTTTCGATGGAATTCGCTTCCACTCTGATTAAATTTGAGAATGTCCGTCCGGATATTATTAAATTTTCCGATTTTATTGGGCATGTAAAAAACGTAAAAGTCCCCGAAATTGAATGTCCGGCGGTCCATTTGCCGATTCGTTCAATCCAATTACGTCTAATATGCATCCTCGTATAGATGCGTTTACCCTTTTCTTTTGATATGCATCGACGATTTTTTATTTGTTCGTATATTTTTATTGTTGCCTTGCAATCCAAATCGTATCGGTTCGATGTAATATAGGTTTTTCTTTTTATAGTTTTTCAATTCACTAAATGTATACGAGTAGTCCCCCTTCAATGTATGTCCGACTGATGTGTTTAATTTTGAAACGTCAAAGAGATAAAAAAGTTCCAAAGAATCAATCACATTAACGTCACATTTAACAATTTAAAATAAAATCAGATTTCGAAACGTATAATATACTGTAAAGTTTTTTATCAGAATTATTGAGAACTCAAGAATAATAATAAAGAAAGGAGAAATAACGAGTGAAAATGATATTGATTATTAGGAATTTCTGCCTCTAATTACACCGATCAGCATCAGTTTCGGTTCCTGCAATATTTGTAGCACTTTTTATAAATTTAAAAATAAAAACCATTTTTGCGTATCACATCCAGTTTTTACTAATGTCAAAAATAAAAGCCAAGAACGTTGCCTTTTAGCAAATTTCATAATTTGTTTCAAATTAAATTCAAACAAGTTTGAACATACTCGTATTTGATATGAGAAAAATAGCGATGAGAGATAAAGAAATGATATCAATATAACATAAACATAGTGGTTGCCTACTGTTGGACATTAAAAAGAGATTCAGCTAACAATAAACAAAAAAAGTCACAAAAATCTAAACGTTTATTTTTTTTTGCAAATGATAGAAATGCGAAAAATTCTCAATTTATACTTTTTCTTAATATGTAGATTAATCACTCTTATGTACTTTTTTAGGTTTCAGGTTTTGTAATGTAAAACTAATTATTCAACTATTATTATTTAGTTAAAAAATAAATTATTATTTCTTGAATTGTTAGAAAACTCAATGTGACAGGGTAATTCAGAAGTCATTTCGAGAATCCTAGCCCACAAAAAAAATCCTAACACAAAAATTTTTTGGTGTATCAAGCAACACCAAATCTCTATTGGTATGAATGAGTAACCCGACTAAGAGAACTACAAGGTATGTACGAGTATGTATAACAAAAGTATGGTTAAAAAAATTGTATAAATAATTTTCGGCCAAAAAAAAATAATGAATTTTAAATACAAGGTTTTATACTTTAAATTTTTTTCGACATTTAAATTGCTGTTGACGATGAATTATTAGTACCTTTAAAAAAAAATCGTAACCGTGACCACTTTGAACACAAACAGCACACATGATAAAAACTTTAGGTAGGTAAATATTCATATTAATCATTTGACGATTAGATAATTATTAAACACATTTCGAAATATCAAAGACTGTTTACTAAAAAACGAAACGTTTGTACAAAATATGTATATCTAATTCTTACTTTTTATGAAAGTATGTAGTTATGAAAGTACGTAGTTCTTAATTTTATTTTAGCAAAAAATATGCAACACATGATATTAACAAAACAAAATGTTCAATATTATTTCATTGATTTGAATTTGTTTTAATTTAGATTAGTCTTGTATATACATATTTAAAATTATAGGTAGTTACTAGTGTGCTTGTATTAAAAATATTGATTGATTTTCATTTCTAAACTTGACTACTCACTTCTTATCAATAAAATCTACTAAACTGCACGAACCCTTTGAAATGTTTTGTTGTTAATGTCAAAAAACTTAAATTTCATACGAACAACTTAACTTAAAAATTAATTATGAATTAGGTGTTTAAAAAAGGTACAGTTACGGAATTAAAATTTCGGGCAGTATTTTTCTGTCACTTTAAAAAATTAATTGTAAACTACCCTTTACTGTCAGCATGACTGAGATTTGACAATTAAACTTTTTTTGTTGTTGAAATTGTTAATTAAATCATTTGTCTTAAGAAATTTATTAATTGAACTAAGTGTAATTAAATCATCGCTTTGATCTGCCACCTACCCGTTATTATGCCATCACAAATCACTATTTTTGAAAGTAAGTAAGTCAAAATGACATAAACATGACAACAGTAAAAAATTAGGTTATTAATGTAAAGGTTGTTTTAGAGTTTACATTATAAAAATGACAATACTGTCTGAAACTTTAATTCCGCAACTGTACTTGGTATTTATTTGTTTTAGTAGAATAATAAATTCTTCTAGAAAATAGTACATAATATGTATGCAATATTTGGTTAAATGTACGTTTTACTGAACTAAAGTATGGCTCGTATAAATCGTAGTTAAATAGTTATGCTATAGTCGTACAATCATATACGAATATACAGAAATTTTGAATATGTCCCAATTCCTTTTCATCTTTAATCTCCTTCTTTTGTATTAAAGCTTTTACCAAAAAGAGTAAAAAACTCAATAGCATATTAGATTATACGAACATAAAGAAAAAAGATTCGCATGAAAAAGATTTTTCGGTGGCATTTTAGAAAGCCCTTCACCGTTCGTTGGGTTGATATTAATTCAGGGCGTGCATTCTGTTTTATAGGCAACTCGGTCGGCGGTGGCGGATAGAGAGCCTCTCACGGCACGACGGCTAAAAGCTTCGCGCTAATGCACCCACCTCTTACTTTCCCGCACCCCTCAACCTTTTTCACAAATTTCAACCCTAATAGTTACGTATTTAGGGTGCTTTTTCTCTGTCACAGGGAAGTCGTTGAATAGGATGCAGTAAATGCCATGAACCAAGAAAAGTATATACGGTGATGAACTTCACCACAAGGGTGCGCCACTTGGTGGATTGAGTCGATACGGTATCCTCCCACGGACGGGAGGAGGAGCGTCGAGAAACATGAAAGGATACAATCGAAATGGTAGCGACATCTTCAAATAAAACCGTCTAACAACTGTTCGAAGCAGCTATAACTAGCGCCCTCCTTGTTCGAAAAACGCCAACAGCTTTCGATTTGAGTGAAGCCACCTACATCTAAAGTTTATACAAAGTTGCATTTCTACATTTCTCTCAGCCTTACTTGAAAGTTACTGACAAAAATAATCAATAACCAATGTATTTTAATACTGCGAACGTTGCGAAAAAGTCTATTGTAGTTTTACTAATTTTTAATTTTACTTACCTGAAATTTGGTATTAAGTAAATCCATAGCAGGTGTGAGACGATTTGACATAACAATATATTCACAATTAGTGCAACCACTCCCTGATCCTTTACAGGCGATTTGCCACAAATTGCAACAAGTGATCAAAGTTCTACAAAAAATAACAATATACTCATTATAATAATTTAAATCTGTTAAATTACTTTGTCGAAATAGATAAATTCGTGGTATCTTGGCCAATTGTAAGTAATTTTCCCAAAACTGTAAATCCACCCACGTTATGAAACACGATCAAATCATTATCAATCCCTTTACTTAATGATCTAGTAAGCTCATTTAGAATTCTATCCAACTGACTTGAACTGGTCGGAGACAGCCCTTGACTAGCTTGATTTGTAATACTACCGATAGTATTAATACTTCTATTCAAACTTCGTTTATTGGCACATTCAACAATATTCGGCTTGTACGAAGTTTCAAATTCCGCTCCTTTCATTACCATTCGTTGTCTAATTTTTTTACATCGTTTTCGATGAGCTTTACCACGCTCTTTAGCAGCCACGCCTTTAGGATCTTCTTTACCGGCCGGAGCGTCGACTATTTGTTTCAAATTGTACTGTTCTAATTCTTTAGTTGTCAGAATATTCTGACCAGGATTTGCTTGTTTTACGGCTTCGTGGTGCGCTCGACCACGTAAATGACTCATCAAATATACCTCTGATTTGATCTAAATACAAAAATTAAATTAAAATCAAATTTATTTTTAACCCAGTCAAATTAGACAAATCGGTGGAAAAAAATCCTAGAGAGTTGAAATTTTTTTAAAACGCTTTCTTTACACTTGAGTAGACATATATCAAAAGTCCTCGAAGGTGGGGGGCGAGCTCGAGGAGGGGGAGAGGGTTAAAGGTGTCTTTTTTTGGTTCGGAAATTATCACTCCTATAGATTTTTATCTTCTTATCAAAATTAAAGCTTACAAAATTTCCTACAAAAATGTCCTTTGCATTTTTGTTGTAGGACTAACCGTAAGCGAGTTATAGGGCAGAAAAAAACATCATTTCAAAAAATGTGCTTTATCTGCATTTAAAACAGAATTAGTCCTGTAATTTAAAAAAAAACTGACAGTAAATTGAATTTACTGGGTCCAATACTTCATTAAAGGAAGGGGGAGTCACGAGGGTCTATAAATACGTTTATGTAATTTATGCAGAATTTTCTGTAGAAGTCAATTTCTGCATCAAAATTTCCTAGAAAAATGGTCCCATTCATTTTTGTCGTAGGACTAACTGTAGGCTTCAAAAGTTTGGAGTCCACATAAAATTGCATTAAAAATCCTTTGAAACACATTTCATTAGTATATGGTAAGTATTTATATGTGTAGAGCGTTCCCCAACTAGGCTGATCTGCCTGAAAGGTGACTCGGGTGTAAACATTTAAACGGAGATATAAATAAAAAATTTGGATGAAAGAGATCTATAAGGGTGTTAAATGAGGTGTAAATGTTTAAACAAAGATATAAACACTCTCCTTAGAAGTGCACTTTTCAAATTTTAATGAAATAAAATAGAGTTTAAACGCTTAAAAATAAAATTAGAAACATGAAATTTTGAATTTTGAGAGTACAGAAGTGCACTGAGTCGACACTTTATGAAAATCAACATTTAATATTTATCCATAAACATAGCCCATGCGAAGAACGAGACTACTATAACTGAGTCCTATACATAACATAGGTAATTATCTAGCTTTACAGAGTACCTAAGCCTATGGAATGGTTTTGTGAACGGGCTTTTTCCCATTTTATACCAGAAATACACGCGGACAAAGTCGCAGGCAAATGCTAGTTCAGCATATAAGGATGACTCGGAAGACTTGATAGACCCTCGTGGCACCTTCTAAAAAACTGTTGGATCCAATACATTCAATTTACTGTAAGCTTTATTCAAATCATCGATATTAAAATCATCTATTTATTAATATTGTACTGAACAAGACTGCAATTCGGTTTACAATGTTTAAGTTGAAGACGAAGATCCAGCATATGAGGACGAGTCGAAAGACTCCCCCTTCCTTTAATGAAGTGTTGCACCCAATAAATTCAATTTGCTTTCAGTTTTTTCGAATCACAAGATTAATTCTGTTTTAAATGCGGATAAAGCACATTTTTTAAATGATGTTTTTTGTCAGCCCTATAACTCGCTTACAGTTAGTCCTACAACAAAAATGCAAAGGACCATTTTTGTAGGAAATTTTGTAGGCTTTAATTTTGATAAACAGACAAAAACCGTTAGGCGTAATAGTTTCCGAGATATAAGCAAAAAAAACAAAAAAAGATATCTTTTCCACCGATCGTCCTATTTTTGTCTAATTTGACTGGGCTATATGACTTACCAAGGTATTACAAGCTGTACAAAACTTCTGAGTAGGGTAAGGAGTACTGTTCGGTGCTTGATTATCCTCATTATGACACCTGTGAATCGACAACTCCAAAGCCTTCTGCCTGATCTGCTCCATATTTTCTTCATGTCGTCTCTTCGACTCTTCCTGCTTCTGCTCGATCCTTTTCTGCAGTTCTTGAGTAGAGGCTAATTGTTGGGCATGGAGAGCAGACAACCGCTCCTCGCGATCTCTCGCTTTTTCCCTTGCCAACTCCTGCCGCTCTCTCTCCCTTTGTTGTTGTTGTTGTCCAATTCTTTCATCCCTTTGTCTTCTTTCATCTTTCAAACGATCTAATCTCTCCTTTCGTTCCCTCTCTAACGCTTTTCTTCGTTCCTCGACAGCGGCTTCCTTTGCCGCTTTTTCCTCCAATCGCTTGCGTCTGTCCTCTTTTATGCATTGGATGCGTCCGCGTTGCTCCCGACAAGACTGAAGAAAATCATGACGTTTATTCTGGGCTTCAAGTTCATTAATGAATGCAATTTCTTTCAGTTTTTCTTCTTCATCGTGTGCTTTCTTGATAATGTCCTTAATGTAACGACGCCGATTTTGTGTCGCTTTTTGCATACGTGACTCCATTCGTTTCCTTTTGTCTTCGATAAGTTGAAGTTTGGCAGCTTTGACATCTTCAACACGACACAAAAGCGCGTGAAGCTTTTGAGTTTTTTCCTGTTGCAAGTCTTGACGTCTTTGTTCGGCGCGTGCTTGTTTCGCTTGATACTTTCTCAAAGCTTCAGCTAGACTCACTTTGCGCGCCGGATTCGATAACTTTTGATGTAGCACCAAAGCACGTCCAGGATGTCTTGCATTTAAATCTTCTAAAGCGGCCAAAGTATCAATTCGATCACTCCAAGACATTCCAGCCAACATAGGTTCGTATCGAGCTTCCAAAGACATAGAATAGTCATCCTCGTTGGTGGGTTCAATCTGAACATCATCGCTGTCACCTTGCAACTCGCCATCGGTTTCCGTCTCTGTATCAACTTCAATTTCTAAACACTTCAACTGTTCGATTTCTTTAGTCAAACGATCTTCTTCCTCCGACAATTGTTTCGCTTTCTTCCTATGCTCTTCCTCGGTGGCTGAGTCCTCCTGAAGATCTTTAAATTTCGTTTCATCGTCGGTTTCTGAATCGATATCAGAAACTTTCATACGTCTCTCTTCGGCAGTTTTTTTAATATGAAGATTTGTCTTGTTTTTCTCAGAGACACAGTTTTTGGACACTGTCATTCTACTTAATGTTGTATGGGATCGCCTCAAAGGAGTCCTACCTTGATCTTTTAAAGATTTAAAAGTATTCAGATTTTCTTTTACACTTTTCTCGATACATTTGGGTGTTTTCACTGCTTCGTTATTTTCAGGCAATAAAGCTAAAGCTGGCAGACTTGCAGTCGCGCTTACTTGATGAAATCTCGTCGCCCAAGTTAAAGCAGTATCAGAACGCCTCGACCTATTATTATTATTCTTGAATCTAGATCTAGTCTTCACAGTCAACCAACCATCAGAGTGTTGATTATCATTCTGCGTGTTATCATTATTAAGAGTTTCCGAAGAACTCGCAATACTGTTACTCGAATTTGTCACAATCGTTCCTTGATTTACCAGTGTTTCAACAGAACTGGCATAGTCATTAAACGACATAGATTTGTTCAAATGTTCTCTAGTTAAAGTCGTTTTACTTTTAGTCAAAACCGGAGGCTTTGCTTGCTTATTCAGTGTGAATTTGGACGGATTGACCACTTTTGGTGCAGTTTTAGATCTTTGATCGGCTAGTTTAATACTTTTCATGTCACCGACGGTTCTGCTTCGAGATAAACCAGTTCTAGCAGGATTAACAGTTGAAGTACGAGCACTAGCAATTGGTTTAGTTAGTCTAACCGCCGGTCTTACCACAGGCCTTGTCTCAACTTTTGGTTTAACAGGTGGTACAGTCTTACCCGAAAAACTTTTAGTTAAAGCTGTAGAATATGCAGGTCGGGTGGTGGTGGTAACAGGTTTAGCAGTTTTGATCGGTTCACTTTTAGTATTTTTGTTAAGAGGAACAGTTTTCTTGTCGATTTCTTCAGTTTGACATTCTTGGTTGAGTTTAGTCGGTTTCTTTACTGGTGGTAACTTGGGAAAATCTTCAGTATTAGTACTTTTCTCAGCTGTTTGACTTTGTAGACAAACCTCAAGATTTGCTTCTTCTGAAATTTTCTCTTGTGATACATCTTCTGTGCTTTTCTTTAACTGAGTTTTAGGTTTGTTGTTTGTGTCAACTTTAGGCTTAATGGTTCTAGTTGTATCTTTTTTTGTCATTGAGACATTCGATTTAGCGTCTTTTGACTTAGGAGCAGACTTTGGCTTAACCTCCGGAACCTTGACAGCGTCTGTCTTTCTCTTAGATACCGGAGACTTAATTAATTTTACTTGGTCTTCTTGTTCAGTTTGACTTTCAACAGCTTTTGTCTCAATTTTAGGTTCCTCCAAATCTTCAGGTGAAGTTTGAGTGTCCACATTTTTAGGTGATCCAGGTGTCTCTATCACTTTTCCTTCTATTATTGGTTGTTCAATCGTAGGAAGAGGGCTTGTAGGAGCCGAAGCTGAATTTTTAATTTTATTGGATAAAATTCGAGGACTAATTTTTCCAGATACGTTGGGACTATTACGTCCGGACCCCAAATTAGGACTTGATTTACCAGATCTATTGTTACTTTTTGATAAATCTGTTTTACAAATATCCCAAGTGAGAGATGTTGGTCTTTGTAAAGGTGGGGTATTTTCATAATCCCACTTTAGACGAAACCAATCCGCTAATGCGTTAAAATCTCTCAAGTAATTTTCTAAAACTAATAATACTTCTTGGCATTCAGTAATACTTTCATGTGTTTCCACTGTATTGTAAATTTCGGCAATCTGTAATTAAAAAAATGAACAATTAGATTCATTACTTTTATATTAGAACAAAATAACAATACACTAATATTTTCTGCTGCTATCAACTATCAACCACCCACCTATTTTAATTATTTTAATGCCATGAATAAAATAATAATAATAATAATAATAATAATAATAATAATAATAATTTTTTTTTTATAATAATAATAATTTTTTTGTACAGTATCTTATTTTGTTAAATGGAATAGCAATCAAGTAACTTATAAAAAATACTTCAAAAACTTGTTAACTCTTTCAGGGACGGTGGGTTAAAATTTAACCCACCACATTTTTGGCCGAATCGGTACGGTGGGTTAAAATTTAACCCACCTTAATTTATATTTTTAAGCAATTTTGCCCATTAATGGTAATATTTCTAATAATACAGACATTATTCTTGTAAAGTGTACCACATTTTTTTATTTACGATTAATGAACTTAATATTATTATAGAAATTATACAATTTATTAATTAGTTTGAAATACTTACATTTTTATGATAGTTATTTTCACTTAAAACACATTTGAATTGTTTTTTGAGAACATACACACAGTAGACAATGATTATTATAAATAAAAAGAGAAAAAAACAAAACAAAAACACACACACAAATGTAAAAATCTGGGTAGGTCAAATTTCAGCAGATTACAATACTTTCCTTATAGGATAAGGAAAGTAAAAATTACTTTCAGTGGGATTAGAATTTCCATCCTCCGGTTTATCAGGCAAATACGTTCCTATTTCAACTAGTACGCTTTGTGACGTCATTGTGCAATTTCAGCATATTTTTCGTAACCACTTTCGCTTTACATTACATTGATAATATTTTGAATTTTTACTAACTGTATTCCGTATTATTCTTAGTTTTTTAAGATATGAGTGGTATGTCCTCAAGTTGTGCAACATTACGAATTTTGTTGATAAATTTGATCAGTTGAAGACTGAAGTGATGCACAGTGAATTTCGTACGCCTTTTTTTCGTGAATTCACAAAAATGTACTGCAGCCTGTACTTTACTGTCATGATAACTGACATTTAAATACGTGTTGTCAAATTTAATTAAATTCTTATTCGTTTTGGACCGGATTTTCAACTTGAAAATGGATTGGTATTATACCTAAAGTAACGTAAAACAAAGCACAGGTAAAAAGTTGTAATAAGGAACATTGAGCATTTTGTCTACATGATAAATGTTTATGAAAGTTCTCAAACAAGATTAAAAAAACCTAAAGACTAATTTACACTTTTAGTGTTATGGAAATTGTGTGGGCGAAATTCACTGCCCGTCACTGTACTCAACTGAGAAAGTCATAAATGGTGGCACTCAATTTTTTTCTATTTCGTTAATACTAGCATTATGTAGCACCAAGCAACTAGAGTTTCAAAGTAACTGGCAGTGTGTAACTTGTAGAGTGTCTCTTTGTTTAGGAAAATAGAAAAACTGCTTTCAAGCATATCATTACATAAAATAATAACTTTGTTAGCTATCGTACGTATTATGCAGTTTGCTTTTGTTTTTATTATTTGTTATTTTTCTTTGTTCATTACATACTATTTTATTTTCTTAATTTATTTCTTTATATGCCTATTAGCCTATTATGTCACTAAATAAGTAATAGACAATGACTACTTCATATTAAGAATGCTTTGAAATTGTCAAAAATATACGAGATTTTACGAAGGGCTCATGAAGTTAATGAGATTACCGGAGAAAGAAGAAAAATGTGAAGTCTAAAACAATTGGTCATAGACCGATGAAACTGTCGTTAATGAAAAAAACTTAAAAAATAATTATTTTTAAAATACAGTAAATAGCTGTACCTGTACGGTATTTTAAATATGTATATTAAAGTGTGTTAACTCTTTCAGGTACAATAAAAATAATACCTACTTCAGTAAAAATATTAATTAAGCTTTGGGCTTTGATCTTTTGCACACAAGAGAGGAATACTATTGTCCACAAGCACACATTAAGAAAAAAATAAAAAAGATTAAAACTAACCAATAGAGCCAACCGTCTGTACTTTCCACGCGAAATAAAAATATGACACTACTTTTTAAACATCCTGTACATTTCAAATCTCAAATGCAAATATTTTTTTCATAAAGACTATTTTAAATACTACCTCACAGATTTACAATAAACATACAGATCTTTGTAAGTTCCCGAAAAGCAAGGCCCAGTATCTTGCCCTTAGCTCAGATCTTTTGTCCCTTCCAGTGGAGGCAGAACGAACCCTAGCCCCCGTTCGTCCTCTTACTCCAAGGTTTAGCTTTACGTTTTGTTGCGACTCAGAAGCTCTTGGTGAACATGGGGGCTTACGTGAGACTTTGCCTACAATCACGTTTATTAAAAAACCTTTCTTTGTTTGCTCGTCGAACTTACTTCCAAAGTTATCGTTAAAAGGAGAAATGTTAAAGGTAAGGAGATTCCTGGCTTCACGCCCTTGTTCCTGCACTAATAATCGCACTTGTTCCATGTTTTATATTTGCTGGATGTTTTCACAGGTCTTTTAATTTTTTACATCACTTGTGATTGATGTTTGAATTTTTGACAGCTAGTCATTTGACGGTTTCACAACAATCGCCATATTGGCCGAAACAGCTGATTCTAATTCCAAGTTTTTCCACCAAGGTCATGGAATTTATCTGCCAAATTGAAACTATATTATTCCGTATGTCGGTCATTAATATTAATTACTTGGAGTAAAACATGTTACTACTGGTTCATGACAATAAAAGAAAACTGTTATTGGCGTATGTTAATAGTTATATGTAAAAATTAACTTATCGTTGGCATTGGTGGAAAAAAACAGTTAAAACTTTTTTGTATTGGGTTTCACAAAAATTATTCTTTATGGTCGCGTCGTAGAATGTAAATTGTTTATAAATAGATAGTTGCAATAACTGCAAAAATATGAAAATTATAATTATGTTATGTAGAATTATGGTGTATTGTTGGTTGCCTATAACAATATAAAAATTAAATATTTTTCAACCCGACTTTTAATATACAATGTGATTTACGAGGAATAATAAGCCAATACTCGATGCAACAAACATTATATTTTCATAGGTTAGGTAGATTTCAAAGATTATTTGAAAAAAAACTACTCGAACTTCCTTATTTACCAAGTTATACTCTTTTTCATATTAATGTGCATCAAGTAGGTTGTAAAAGTGTAAATGCATCTTTAATTTAAATGCTGATTTACACAAAAAAAATTTTTTTTATTTAAAAAATTTTTTTTAGGGAAGATTGAAGTTAGGATTGTTTGAATTTTTGCATGGGTGCCACTTGATCCCTTTCAGCGACTTCTTCGATGCACATTAATTTGAAAACGAGTATATTTACTAATAATAAATATTTAATTTTTAATTTTTTATATTCTCTTTATTTTTTTTACGGAAAATTACGTTTTATATTGTTTACAATCAAAATTGATTTGTTTGAAAAAGTTTTTTCTGTAGTAATATCACAAGTTTTTTCTGTAGTAATATCATAAGTGTTAAAATTTTGTCGGCAAAATTTTCAGATTGTACGAGAGTTTGTTGCATAGCAATTTATTGAGTGACATTGTTAGAAAAACCTCGAGTCGCAGACGAGAGGTTTTTGAACAATGTCATGAGCTAAATTGACAACAAAAACACGAGTAAATCAATCGAAAAATTTTGCCAGACCAAATTTTACCACGAATGGTATTCGGGGGACTATTTCATGAATAAGACTACACATTCAAGTCTACAACTATTTATTATAAATATTAAATGTACAATTATTGTAAACATGAGTTTTTGACTGTATTGTTGATAAGGTACCTCGTAAGCTCTCTAAACGCCCAGTCTTGGAAAATTTCTGCTAGACGATTTATTGGAGTGTCGGCAGTCATTTCATAATTTCTTTCTTCGCAGAATTGAGAGAATTGCTTCCATATACAAACCTTCGTCTTGATCGTGTTTTGGGGAACACTTAATGAACTTGCAAGTGTAATGTCAGGAATTGATACATTCCCAAATCGCGTGTTTTCATTCTTTTTTCAAATTAAATAAAATAACTTTCAAAATATTTAAAACGACAGAAGTTGTTTAGACTGTTACCATAGGTAAAATTTTATCACTTGAAAACTGGCTTGGTTTCGATTTTGTTCGTAAATATCCTTCACTCATTGGCTCTAAATATGAGGTGAAGGCGATAAAATTTTGCTTTCATCAATGTTATCGATTGAAATTTTTTACTCATTGTTGAATGACGAGATGCTATTGGCAGAAATGTAAATGAATGAAATAATCCTATAAAAATTACTTTATTTTTTTCTACAAAAATTAAGTAAAAATGTAAGCAATCAAAATATTTAAAATTATAAAGAACATTTATACTAAAACATTGCATTTTTTAAACCAAGAAGCAACTTTAACTTTGTTGAAAAAAAAAGTTAATATAGCTCGTTATTTTAAACTATACGTAATGAGAAAAGAAAATTTGTAGAAAACATAACTAACAAATTAATAAAATTGTAAACAAATAAAAGGTGACGTGCGAGTCCCAAGTACAATGCGATCAAAAAGTCTTTCTATGAAGTAGGCGTACTAGTTACGGAAGTATGTTGCTTGGCAGTTTGTATGTCAGCTAGATGTCAACAAATTATGTTATAAAAATATATAAATGTTATATATAAAAAAAAAATTGATATAAACAAATTGAATTACTAAATGAAACGTCTTAAAACACCCTAAAATGAGATGTAGTTGGTGTTTACTGTAGTTACTGTTTATATAAAAATTGTTTTGACCTTTCTTATTTACCGTAGTAACATTTTATCTTCCGCAGACACACGTTTTAAATTTTTAGGCTTACTTGATAGACAAACTTTTTGATTGCACTGTAGTTAACTCTTGATATCATAGTATTTTTTTTTAATTGTACCTAGTTTATTTGTATTAATTGTATTTGATCTAATTTAAATTAAACTAATAGACAAAAAGTGTAAAAACTTTAAAATATTTATAAATACATATTTTGCAAAGTTTCTTGGAAACGTCTTAAATGTTAATTTTCTCTGTGTTTCTTTTTTACGTTTGAATAACTTTGAAACGGATATAGTAACATATCTAAAGGTAGATGGATAATTACTTTAAATAATTGTATAAAATTTTACGTATTCGTGATATAACTATGTATACCTAATTCGTTGTTAAATCCGAATAAAAATATTATGCACTCTTTAAATTCGTTAATAATTTTACTCGTTTTGTTTTGTAAGATTTGAAATAATTTATTCATTCTAATATAAAATTTAAAGAAACAGTGGATGTAAGCCATGACTTGTAGTTTCTTATTTTATTTTTTCTATGACGTAAATCTATGACATCTTACCTACTACCCATGTCGTTGTGAGTAAAAATCAAGATTTAGCAAATGTGCACTCTTGGCTTCTGACCCCAAGATTCAATATTACTGGTAGGTAGACAGGTTTCAGGTTTACCGGTGATGTCAGAAGAATTCACCGGATAAAAATCAACAGTTCAAGGTCAATCACGGTATTTAGTTTACTAACATTAATAGTTAGTACAATAGTACCTACACAATAGAATACCTTTTACATTTATACCACCAGAATACAAATTTATGAACCGAGACTCTATTATTGTGCTCAAGAAAATTAGCAAACCACAATTCATGTTTTTTGCATTGATTTAAAACTGGTAGTAATTAACTGCAACAAAAGTTACAGCGGGAAAATACGCATTGTAGGTGGAAAATGAAGATGAATCTGTATATCTAATTTGGTAGTTTCAAAAGAAAACAATTTAATTAACCTTGGAGAATGGGATTCCCAGTCAGTGCAATAACATCCTCGAACATAATTGCCAATTCACCACAATATGACCAAAATCAGTAATGAGATTAGGAATGAGTTAGAAGTATTTTTACAACGCGCTAATTTATTGTACACAAATAAAATTTTATTAGATGGCTGCTTTGAATACCGTTTTAGTCACACGAGTTGAAATCAGATATTTTTATTACGAAAAAAAGACAGACATCAAAAATATTTATTAAAAAAAGTGTTTAACACATAAATTATAAATAAAAATTAGCCCACCCTGTAAAATCCTCCCTTTTTCCAACCACCCCCATAATTCAAATATCCTCCCATAAATCCTCCCCCTCTATTTCTCCATCCAGTTCCTTGACCAATTCCTCCTCCAAGTCCCCCTCTATTCCTCCACCCAGTCTCTGCTGTAGCGAAAATTTCAGCACTGTTACCGCTTTTGACGGTTTCAGGAGGAACGATTACTGCAACAACTTTCTGCAAAGGTTGTGCCGGCATCGGCAATGCAGAGCAGCACATCATGAAAAGTGTAACGCTTATTATTTCCTAAACACATATATTTTTTAAACAAACAATTATAAAAATTATGCGTAACTTACCTTTATCATTTTGGTCACAAACAGTAATCAAGTTTAAACTTAAAATGAGTTCACAAGAGGCCTGCTCTTCTATATAAGCCCTACGAAAGAATCTTTTTTCTTTTTATTATGAAACTACTTGGTGATGTGGATGACCGAGGATGGCCAACTAGAAACTAGATTTTTACCGGTACCTATTGATACAAGTGCAATTACAACGGCTTTGTTAAAAGATAAAGTTGGAATAGCAAATACTTACATTTATTTTCGAATAATTTCTGGATTTTAAAATTGTTTGCAATTTGGGTACTCCTTTGAGCACTGTGAATCATAAGTTAAATTGGAACAATTTTCACCCAAAAATCAATAAAATAGGATTCATGGAATGTGGTACCGTTAAGCTTTTAGTGAAGAAATGCATGATTTAAATGGCTTCTTGTATTTTTATCTTTATCTTTAAAGTTGAAATTGTAGGTAGCTTATTTATGTTAAAAAATCAACACGCTACCGTTATGTCAAACTTTGTTAAAAATGTTTTCATTTTCAAATCGATTGTTGTCACATTCTTAAAAAAATACCATAAAATATAAATAAGTTTTACTAGTAAAAGTTACTATAAAAGAAAGTACCACTCAACCTACATAAGAAAATAAACGTTTAAGTAGATATATTAATATAGAACGTGGGATTATTTGTAAAAATTAGCTTTGCTAACCATTCAAGTGATAATAATAATAATATATACCTATCAACCTATCTAGATTATAAAAGTAAAAAAAAAATATTTTTATTTCATGGCAAACTAAAATTATTTTTATGATAGTTAGCTTTTCCGATAAAAATATGGATAAAATTTTCAATCAATCTTAAACATTAGTTCTTAGGACACAAATCGTCAGAAAAATATTCTATTGCTACTTATTTCATTATTAATTATTACTATAGGTAATCGAGGATACAGTTGTTTCAAAAACGAAAAAATGACTAAATAGAGAATAGACTGTATTTTTTCTTATATTAGCTATCAAGCACACAGAAAACAGAAAAATTTTACTATTGCAATTTTTAGTATTCAGTATTAGTATTTTTGAAAGATTTATGTCGAATTTTACTTTACAAGCTCTGTTTTAAACAAACTATTAATTAAGGCACTAAATGGGCGTAACATACCTTACTTATCATAAATTCAGATCACTATACATACAGGGTGCGCCAGAACTCGCGTCCCTGAGAAAGTAAGTTAATATACCAAGAACACAAATGTTTCAAAAATTCTATCTAGAAAAAATGTGAAGTTATGAGAGTTTAGGTTTTGCACTTTGACTCTATTAATTTCTGTTAGAAAAATAATTTTCCAATTTTTTTTTGCTACAGGCTATTAGAAGAGGAAACAAAGAAGCCGTAGCCGTGAATTGTAACTTTGTTTAATGTTATTTTTGGCTTTTATTGCCAATATATTTTTGTACCTTTACTAAATAATTATAAAAAAACATTTACAAGATCATCAGTATCATTAAATAGACATAAAAAAATGTCAATTGTCAAAAAATAAATGTCAATTTTTTTAGATAGAATTTTTTAAACATTTATTCCTTGTTCCTGGTATCTTTCTATGGGGCGCGAGTTCTGACACATCCTGTATTTGTAATTTTTTATCTATAGATACGTCGTGTATCTCTTTAATTTTGTGTGTGCAGATGCTTTGGTGTGGTTCCGGATGAATCAAAAAATCCAATAAGAACTTATTTTCTTCTATTTTTAGTCTATTCGAAACCATTCCAAACCAACCAGGCTCTCCAACGACCCCTTCGGTTAAGTTGGGAAAATCTTCGTGATGAGCTCAGAACGCATCTTTAGGAACCTATTAAAAAAAACTACATATTGGTTAAAAATAATTTTATTTTATTATAAATTATTTTTAGATCATAGACTTAATTAAAAAAAAATGTAAAAGTAGGTTGCCATTTAATTTTTTTTGCAAAACTTGAAAACTAAAAGGAATTTTGAAAAATGTTATTTTTAGTAAATGATCACATTTTAATTGTACTTTACGCTATACTAATTTTTTTTCGTAAAGTAGTTAGTTTACAAAAAAACGCTTGGTTCCGTGTATAAATTAATGATGATAACAAAGTAACGTTTCTTAAATTAAATTACTCGGATTTCTTAAACTTTGAAACAATAAACAATTTTCTCAAAAATCGGTAAAATACAGTTTTCTTAAATTATTCTGAGTATCGTCAATAATAATAATTATTATAATTATTTACAAATTATTAGTAAGTATAGACAAGGTCATTTATGTGCTTTCCTATAAGAACATATTAAAGAATTATCTCGTAAGTACGACTTTATATTTTTCATTCATATTTTTAATTACAATACACAATTACTACAATTTTTTTGAAAATAAGTTCTAGAACATAAAATACCACACGAACATATTTAACACCTTTGCAATCATGGAATAATTATGTGCAAAAGCTTCAAATTTAAAAAAAAATCACATCATTTTGTTCATACTGAACGTTTATTTATACATTAGATTAATGTAATTTTCATAGAATTTGTTTCTCTCTTCCATTGGTTACTTCTATTTAACGTTTATTTAGCATACTTTTATTATGTTAATGGTGTACTGTACCTATATAAGTAGCCCCAAAAAAACAATTTTTGTAGAATTGTTTGACCCGTCTTCACTACCACAATGGAATTTAACATAGTCAAAGTAAGTTTTCCATTATTATTATGTAACAGCAAATTTAATAACAAACAATATTATTACAGGTGTTTCTCCTAATCCTGTCGCTGGTGGTTTTAACTTCTGCTGCACCATCGCCTAGATTTGGGGGCGGAGGCTCCGGTGGAGGCTTTGGTGGAGGCGGTGGCCGAGGTGGCGGTTTCGGAGGAGGCAGAGGAGGCGGTTTCGGCGGCGGCAGAGGAGGAGGTGGAGGATTTGGTGGAGGTCGTGGCGGTGGTGGAGGTTTTGGCGGCGGTTTTGGTGGAGGAAATGGAGGAGGAGGTGGTTTTGGAGGTGGATATGGTGGCGGATATGGACGATAAATTATTGCCAAGTAAATTGTTAACGTTTATAAAATTTTATTGATGTAATAAAATACAAAAATATAAATAAATAAGTAAATAAATTAATTGGAATCGAAAGCAAAGTTATTGCAAATGCTGTATGTGAAGTTTGCCAAAGTGATTTACTTTAGAACTGTAGCGTTTTACTTCAGGAGGGTGATGGTGTTTCAACCCATTGGGAAGCTTGTAATGGGCTAGAAAGCCTCCAAAGCCCCCAGATCGAACCAACGGAGAAGTCGTAGAAAGTGAAATTAGTAGGCCAGCAAATATCAAAGAAAGCCAAATCTGCTGGTTTAAATTTAAAATTTACTTGTGTTTACTTCTAACAGATATAACTACATCACGTACATAATTATGTGTAGAAACCTATACCGAGTGGTCCAAGTTTCACTGTCTTAAAACATACAAAAGTGTTTGTTATTATTATTATTATTAGATTTCTTTTATTCTATAGGTAAGTGTTTTATCTTCGCAAGAATCTTTGGACGTCAACTCAAGTGTAATTCTTGTTTTATTTGAAAGGTACATTATTTTTTAACAATTTTTGTATCTCATAAAATTTTTGTTTTGGCCTTGGTTTTAGAGTAAAAATCTTGGACGTCAGTCATTTATTATTACTGTTTTTAAAATTGTATTAAAATGATTTAAGGTTTTAGTTTCTTTATGTATCTTTGTGTTAACAGTAAGGTAATTATATTAATTTAAACAAAAAAAGACATAATTTCATTGACGTCCTCTAACTTTTAAACGGTGCCACTTTGTGCACTTACTTACTGGTACTAACATATTAGACCTACTAAATTTTTACCACAATGTAGGTACACTGGCAACAATAAAATTGCGTACACCATTTTTTTTTTCTGTATTAAGGGGGATTATAGCATGACATAGACCTTGGCAGTGTCAAACAGTGAAAATGTCAAAACTTACTCAAACCAAAAAATTCTTATATTGTCTAAACTGGAGGAGGGCTATAGCCTCGACTATAGCATAAAAACTGTTGCCGACTAACAGAATTTTAAGAGTGAAGAAAAGATGAAAACAAGAATGGAGTATAACCTCTTTTCTAAAAATACTTTGAAACTTCAAAGAAGACAAATTCATACAATGAATCAATTAGAAAAAATGTATTAGTGGATTTTTACAATGTACGCAATTATATTGTCCGCCATGTACTAAATCATTTTGATTTTTTTTATTTGTTTAATATCATTTTGCCTGCATAGCGCTAGACCGTAAAACTTGAATCAGACGGTACACAGCAAGTAGTAACTAATAATAATTATTTAATAATAACAAAAATCATTACCTCATTGGCGACCATGTTCCATGCACTTGAAAAAATACACCTAGTAAAATTCTTAAACGATAATCGACTGAAAGTAATATCTAATGAATTTCTTCATTTTATACTTTCTATTAAGGTCGTAAGGTCAGCGATTTTGCGTGGAAAGCCGGAAAGGTAGTAGAAACCCAACGACACCAAAATATACGAAAAAATGTATTTAAGTGGGTCATCATAAAAAATTACAGTTCACAATCGGACGTACACGCTGATTTCTTAATTACATATTTGTACAAATTAGCTATATACATTTGTGGAAGATTTATTTCCCATATCCTCCACCAAATCCTCCTCCAAAACCAAACCCTCCTCCGAATCCACCACCGTAGCCGCCTCCAAAACCACCTCCGTAGCCTCCTCCATATCCGCCTCCGAAGCCTTTGCCGAAACCACCACCAAAACCTTTTCCATATCCGCCGCCATATCCGCCACCGTAGCCGACCCCATAACCGCCTCCCCATCCATGGTGCGGGTATCCATATCCGCCATAGCCACCAATTTTCTTAACAGCGATAATGGTTATGCCGCCTCCATGTCCGTAACCGCCCCAATGACCCCAAGGAGCTGGAGCAGGTGCGCCTAATGCCGAAACCACCAAGACGAAGAAAACCAAGAGGGACTGTAATAAGTATAAAAAATATATTTTGTTTTTTTTTAAATATTATACAATTGACTCACTTTTAAGCTGAAAATTTGAAGATTCATTTTTGCCGACACACACACCTACACTAGCCAAACGAGAAGAATAATGGGTTAATATCTGACATAACTTTTATATCATCTCTTTCGCGGTCTTCAAGGTTACGAGCATGGGTTAATCCGAACAATAGTCGGTGCAAGTTCACACTTTCGATGGGTTACTCTCGCATTCGTAATAAGCATAGGTGATATGTGTGAGTACAATACGATGTTGGGAAATACTCAAATATTGACATTGAATATGAGTTTCCTAATGGGAATTTTTCTTCAATCTAAGTACCTAAATTTAAATTAACGTTATTTATTGTTAAAGACTTTCTATAAACAAGTTATGAACTCATATGTCCGACGGAATTTCCAGCAAAAATTAAATATTTCACAAATTTTTGACACCTACACAAAGAATTGTATAACACGTTTTTACAAAATATTCCTTTAGATTAATAACTGCCTTTATAATTGTTTGGTCTCACTACCTTTACTTTTAGATTACATCGTGCATGGAACGAAGATATTTCTACAGTTGATCGACCATTTTTATGATTACAAAAAAAAATTAAAAGGCTTTTTATTCAAACTAATACCAACAATGTTTTACGCATTTTTCTAAGTTCTTAAAAAATCTATAAGTTAGTGTTTTTAATCTACTTCTTTACTGATTTTAGTAATTTTTAACGTTCTTATATTTTAACTTTTTTTAAAAAGGTTGGGTTTTTTTAACTGTGTTATAGTGGACCGTTCGTTACACTTATTGCATTTTTTATTTATTTAAGAACACTAGCAAAAGAAAAAAGAACCAAGACTGAAACTTAAGTTTCCCTGCCTGTCCACTGGCTACCGAGTCCTAAGCAAGTACCTATTTCTGCTCTTTTGTATACATTTCTACGTTTCTACATTGCTTTCAGGGGCGGATCCAGGAATTAATTTGGGGGAGGCTTTTCTAAATTTTTTTTAGAATAATGAGGGTTAGGTGTAAAATGAAACCTTTACTTTGGTATATGTATACAGTAAGCGGCAAAATTATGGAATAATCTTATTTATTAAAACTGAAAATGTTTTGTTTTGGTAAAAATTCTCGTCAATTAAAAAAAATACAAAATTTTCAAGTTGATTTAAAACTGTATCTTTCACTTTATGAATGATTTTTTTTATCAAATTTGCTTAAACAAATAAGGACCTTTTTAAGATTTGGCCCAAAAAAGTACAATTGATGAGTTACTATTGATGATTTCTTTTTAAATTGGTAAAAACCAAGTAAGTATCGAGAAATCAAGATAATTTGTAATCGAGTCGTTGAATCCGAAAATGTATGTCCTGTGCGTATGTCTGTGAATGGTCAAATAAAATGACAAGTCGAAAGGTAAAATGGCATGATCAAAAAGATGATGATTTTAATAACTAAATTTATGATTTACCTTCAAAAAAGAACGGTTTTATTATTTCGACTTGTCATTTTATTTGACGTTTCACGTGCAGTTAGTTAAAAAAGAGACATAAGATGCAAAGATGACTTGATTACAAATTATTTTGATCTCTAGGTATATGTTTGTCTTTGTTTTCATAGGTGTGATTTACAAAGAATTCTAATGTTTTTATTTAAAAAACTTCACTCATAAGGTTTTTATATTAAAACTTAAAAATAAAAAATTGAAGCTTTTGGTGGTAAGTTTGGGAAGGCCCTGGCTCCCTGGGCCACTCCCCTGGATTCGCCCTTGATTGCCTAATTGTGTAGTATCAATAATAAGAAAACAAAATTTACTTACAAAACAAAAAAAATATTTCAAATTAAAAATATTTTAAACACAGATGTTTAATTTCTTAAGAACCTAACCCAAATCCAAAAGCTCCAATTCTTCGATGATTGCGATGATATCTTCTAAACGGGGGTATAACAAATCCTCCACCACCAATGTATCCATGACCCCAAGATCCATGTCCAAAACCACCATGTCCAAAGCCTCCATGTCCTAAACCTCCATGTCCAAAACCTCCATGCCCTATGCCTCCATGACCAAAACCTCCACCATGTCCACCACCAAATCCTCCGCCATGTCCTCCTCCTCCTCCTCCACGAGGATTACAAAACGATAAACTTGCAAAAATTAGCAAAAGTAAAATCTGTGAATACAAACTGCAATTATATGAAAACAATAATATTAATATCATTCATACCTTTTGTGCTACTGAATGAACATTCATTTTTCTTCTCTGTTGTAAAACTAAGATTTGTCAGTTTTATCGTGCAAGAAAAGTATGTAAACTTTGGAGAGGCATATTTGTCAAGGTTATTTACCCGAATTAGCTGTCCAATGAGTTTATTCGAATTGAAATCTTATTGGTTTATTGGTTAAAAAAACAGTCGTTTGCAAAAGTTGGCCAATAAGCAGATATTTCTATTTTTAGCTTTGTAAAGAACTAATAATTTTTGTAAATAATAAAAATACGAGTCAGTTTTGTTTTTGCTAAACTTTTAACACATTTTCTACTAAAATGGTCATAATTAAATTATAACACAATGTGGTAGGTAAAGGAGAAGGTCTAGAAAAGTTTCAATAAAATTTCGTAATATGTTGTCAATAATAAGACATTTTTAATGCAGTAAGACAAGATACATAATCTATTTTTAAAACGATTGTATTTAAAGTTTACCACCAGCCTCTTCTAACCGGTACTATGATAATTGCACCTCCTGGCCTCCAACCACCGTATCCCCAACCTCCCCATGGCCTGTGTCCCCATCCCCCGTGACCCCAACCCCCTCCCCAACCTCTGCCCCACCCTCTATGAGGCTCAGGTGCTGGATCTGGTGTTGGTACACATAGGGAAAAAGCAGTAAAAATGCACACAACTAGGAATACCTAAAACACTTTGTTATCAACATTTTCATACAATACAATATTTAAAATAAACCTTAAATAAAACGTGGTAGAATATCATTGTAATTAGAGAACGTTAAAAAAATCAAATGCACAACTTTCTTCTCACAAGATTAATGAAAAAAAGCAGGGATGTAGTAATACTTATATTAGCTTTATTGATATTGCAATTGACACATTAACAAAATTCAAGGCCATTTATTAAAATTTGGACATTCCAGATGAAAATGTATTTTTATTTACTTAAATATAACAATTAGTACTGAACAAAATTCTTCCTTTATTCAGTAAACTTACGGTTATTTCTTCAATAATTATTTAACTTTATTTAACAAGCTGCATGCGTAAATACTTTTAAATTTTCCAAAGCACCGAGAAAACGCAATATTGTATGACCAATCTTACAAATTGTTTATAATAATAATATAACTATCACAAAAATAGTAAAAGTTAAACCACCTTATAAAAAAATACATTCACATATGTAATTTCAGTTATTTTATAAACTCTTTCAGTATTTACTAACTACAAGTATCGTAAATCTTGTTATCCCAAATTTAATATTTAAGATTTATTGTTGAATTGTGCCAAATTATCATAGTAGGTCACTTATCAAAAACCATAGATAATAGTTTTGGCTCTCTTAAAAATACTATATTAGTGCATTTAATGATCGATTTGACCCGCAATTATTCATTTCACTATATTGCAAATTTTGACTTTCGACCTATTACAAAAACAACGATATGTTCATCGTTACTGCTCCATTTAAAAAAATTGTTTATTAGTTTAAAAGCGAGTCAGTAGAATTCACGAGTTCGCTCACCTATAAGTAGTTATACACATTGGAAAAGTTTTAATAAACAAATTTGTTAAAACGCGTGAAGACGGAAGTTTTTACAAAAAAAACGAATCGTAAGTTTGTCAACAATTTGTTTTTTCATATCATTGTTGCATAACAATTACAGATGTTATTCACAATTTTATTGATTGCAAGTGCAATATCAACCCCTCACGCTTATCCGTTTGCATCATATTCAAATCCATCATATTATCCATACAACCAAGGCAACAGAGTGGTATTTTCTGGAAAAGATGCCAACTGGAGGTACACTGGAAACTACCCTATTAGTCATGGAGTGGGTTATAGCGATAAAAATAGAGGTAGTTATGGTGGGTATCCTGGAGGTTACGAATCGCAAGTTCGACATGGTGCTCCCTACCTTGGAGATTATGGAAGCAATGGTTATGGGGGAGGTTTGGGAAACGGAGGTTATTATGGAGGCGGCTATAGACCAGGTTTAGGATATGGAAATTATTATGGAGGTGCCTACAGGCCGGGTGTGGGATATGGAGGTTACGGGAGTGGCTACGGTGGTCGATATGGTGGATATGGCGGTGGCGGTAATGGTTACGGTGGTGGATATGGCGGTGGTTACGGCGGTTACGGTGGTTATGGTGGTTATGAAGGATATGGTGGTTACGGTGGCGGTAGTGGTTATGGTGGTGGGTATGGCAACAATGGGGGATATGGTGGCAGGTTTTATTAAGAACACGAAGAACGTGGGTTAAACATCTAGTATTTAATTTTTGTGTACAGTACAATAATTAAATTGAATCGTCTTTTGCTTATTTTTGTGTGTTATTTATTGTTCTCAATTTGAAGCTGCATAAACTTCTATCAATAATAGCTTTTCAGTTTTTGGATACATTTTTATTGTTCTTTTTTGCTTTTAGGAGTTTTAAGTAAAAATCCAACACCGTCTAGTTCATATGTTGTAGGAATGTAGGCAATTACTCCTACGTATGTTTTATTAATTATTCATATTTCAAATTAATCGTAGGTTATCGAAATATGTACTCGTGTAAGAAGATCGAAAATTGAAAATCAAAAAAGGAATTAGGAAGGTAGGTATCAAGATTATTTTTTAGGATTATAAAACATGTAATTTTTTGAGACTGTTATCATTTAAATTGTTATTTTCAGATGTTAAACCACATTTATACTGAAACACTGTTTTCTTTCTATTGCAGGTTAAATGCACGGGACTAGAATGTGTAGGTATGTACCTTAAACAAAACATAGGTGCCAATAAAAATATCTTTATCTTCAAATGACCAAAAAAAACGAGTTTTTCCCTACTACGAGTACCTATATACCAATAAATAGGTACCTAATTTAATATCGGTGGCAAATTAAAAATTTTATTTATGTCAAAAGGACAAAAAATTGGAAAAACTAGAAATTAAAAACCAAGTGTAGAAATCTTAAAATTGTTTTATTTTTTAAACTTTTGTATGCAGCAAATTATACATCTGTTTGGTTGTGGGTTGTCTAATACCACATATCATAAAAATATACCTAGTTTTATGCATTTTTGTATTTAATACCTATTTAATACTATTGAGAAAATACTGTTACCACCCTGCAGTAAGTATTTTTTACTTCTTATTAGCATCAATATCTCTTGAGAAGTAGGGTCTGTTATGGTAGGGATGATAAACATGCGGTCTATGAAAATTACAAGAATGTCTTCGAGGATAATATCCATTGTAATGTAAATAAAAAGGGTCAGAAAATCCATCAATCGCAAATGATTTTTCTGCAACAAAAAATACTACACATTAAAAAGAAATAATAACAACTATAGACTGCATGAGTAGCTACAGTGTGCTAAAAAAGTAGGAAACTATAAATTACGTTATTAATATTTGCTTAAAATAGTAATTAAGTAATAATAATAAATGGAAATAAACACAAAAATAATTTACATACCTTCACGCACTTCATTCACAGTGCTAACTGCATCTATTAATTTTTCCTCCTTCTAAAAAGCAGTACTTACTTAATGTTTAATATTATTAAGTAGAATTTGTTACCTTTTTAAGGTTTTTTATACCAAAAACCATGGTGATTAAAAAAACAGTAATAATAATAATAATCTAAAATTATTGTTATTAATAAAAATAAAAACAGAAAAATAATTAATAACTAACCTTCTTGGAAAACATATTAAATCTTGGAGCAAAAGAAGCTAACTATAAGTGGTGTCTTTTATACTTATTCCTTCCTTAATTATGTTTCTATCTATGCAAATTCCGAAGGTTGGAGAAGAGCACAAATTGGAGGAAATGAAAAGAAAACAAAGGTATTTTTATCAATTTTTATTATGCATACAGTATAATCTTTAGGTACGCACAATAACTCCAATACTGATAAAGCAATAAGTACTTACAAAAATATTTTACAGTCCAATAATCATAATAAAAAATACAAAGTCGTCGTCATAGTACCATTAAAATTTCCTCCCACTTCTTCGGTTATTCATCATCGACTCCTCCATCTTTTTCGGTTCTTCAGTTTCGCTTTCTGTCTGTGCTTCAGTTGGTTTGCTTTTTTGGTTCAAATCAATCATTCCTGCTTGTTGTAAAATACCGCGGCATTCTAGAATTTTCTTAGTCATTTCTGAAGCGTTTTCGGGATCAGGAGTTTCGGAATGATTTTCATCAGATTGTTGGCGAGTTTCAGTATTTCTACTGCGGACTTGGGTGGTTTTTCTCACGTTGTCAGCTGGAATGGCTATAGCAATAGCCACCAACGATAAAATAACCTGTCAATTAAATAAATTTTTAGATAAAACGACATCATTTTTGCTCAACTTACAAAGTATTGACGCATTTTACCTCTTCTCAAACTAAATCAAACACATTTAAATAATACATCAAACAGCGAGTCCTTAAATAGAGACAAGAGGATACCCTTTACGGGTGATTTATTCCAACCTTTTTCTGATGACTAGTGTGCCGAATTGTAAAAAAATGAATGAATCCACAGCGTGAATAATCAAAGAACAAAAGAAAAACAACAATAGATTATTTTTGTAGCGTTTATTTTACTTTAATACATCTAGTAACCGTGGCTTTGATAACCTCCTTGATGGGCGCCACCGGTTCTGCCTCCATGGTAAGTGCCTGGATATCCCCCAATGTTGCCATGGCGACCACCACCTTGACTGTTGGCAAGTCCTCCTTCGCGGAATGTTCCTCCTTGACGTCCTCCTTGACCTAAACCGCCTTGTCCTTGACTACCGAAACCACCCTGTCCTTGACTACCGAAACTACCCTGTCCTTGACGGCCTAGACTTCCTCCACGACGCTCATTTTCGCCATAAGGGGTGGCCGAAATAGCAACGACCAAAACTAAGAGGATTACCTACAAAGAAAAACAGTAGATACTTCCAATACCTACCAAAAAATAAATTGTTTACTTACGAAGTATTTCATTTTTGCAGAGAGTCTGACTTGCTATCTTGGTGACAACTACAAAGTGGTGTTCTTGTCAAAGCTTTATATAAGACGATGATAGGTGATAAGAAAATTATCGTTGGTTACGAATGTTTTGTTATTAAATAATTAATCTACAAAGATTACTTGGAATATCTTGTTGGAATAATTTTGACCTACAAATCTCTTTTATTTTAATTTTTTTGACATAAGCTTTATGAATAAACAGTCAAATTATTATTATTATTTTAATGATATGTTTTCATTTTCGTAAATATTTTCAACTAATAAATTTAATACGTAAGGCTTGTTACAGTAATCTCATGGTATTAATATTTGTTACAGTAAAACCTCCCTTAACGGACACCTCTAGATAACGGACATTTTTGTAGGAACGTAATTAATACATTCTGTACAAAAAGTACCGGGAAAATTTAAGTAAAATAGTAGTACGTTATTATTGATCAATTTTTATTTGATTTTTTTCAAACTAAACTCCATCTGAAGCGACACACATATGCCAATGTTTAACTCAATCATCAAAACAATTCTCAAAAAACAGCTTTCAGTTGTTTCTGCGAATTTTGTTTTATGTATTTTATAGATTCAAAACGCCTTCCTTGCGGGACGGGACAATTCAAGTTTAAGGAACAGGAAAACGTCACATAGGGCCATGTTATAGTAATATTTTTTTAATTTTTCCCGTTTATCGTAAAACTGTGTCAAATAATACAATCTCATGCGCTAATAGTTTTGTCTTTGTTGTAACTATGCGAATGAGTGAAACAAAATGCAAACGGTCAAGCGTAGCTGAAAATAGGAGGGACCACCAGTCGTTCTCAAACTATGAGACGCCACTAAGCTAAAATTTGTTATTATTATTATTACTTTTTTAATAAATTAATAAGTCTTGTATGTTTTCAAGGAAAACAAAATGTTAACAGTCTGCTTATTTTATTAAACATCCATTCATTAATTGTCAATTTCTCGTGCCAAATCGATTCAAAGTATCACAAATTGCTTTATTTCAGCCTAAAATTAAGATTGAAGCAATTATATTTATAAAATACATTAATTTTGAATTATTTCTGTATAAAAATCGATCAATATTGAATTAAAAATAACTCAAATTGCTTTATTTTGAAAGAGAACCAATATTTAAACTATTATATTGTTGTAATACTTTGATTTAGGTTGATTTCCTGCTTAAAACTGAGCCAAATGCATTGGAAATTAATCAAATCGTCTTATTTTGAACAGAAACGACGAATAAACACTCTTCTGTGCTCACATCGAGCAAAATTGCCGAGTTTTCTGGCCTAAAATTCAGCCAAAACGATTGGAAATTAATCAAAATAGTCTTGTTTTGGCCGGAAACGACGAATAAACACACATTTCTTTGTTTTCGTTTAATAAAACCTTGCAAAATAATGTATTTTGTCAAATAAGTATTAAAATTACGGTTTCTAGACAAAATGAGACGATTTGATTATATTCCAACAGCTTTTCTTGGATTTTATGCCAGAAAACATCTCTCTTTTAAACGACCTAAGTGCGAGAAAGACAAAAGACCAGAGAGTGGCATAACGTTTATCTTACTTACTCCTACCTACTTACTTGAAGAGCGAGAGAGACAACAAAGTTTTATGACATTCGGGTAAAATTAAAAGAATTCTACCATAGCTGAATACGATGATGCCATTTGTTGCGTTTTTAGCTAAAATCTGGCCTTTTCCAGCGAATATTTTTTACAAACATTTCATAACGGCTAAATAATGTTACTCTTAAACTTAAGTGACGATTTGCAGTCAGCATTTCTTTGATTTTTTTTAACATTTTCCACCGTCTTTGCTGTGGACGATCGTCCAGAACGAGAAAAATCGGTGAACTCTTTCCGGCCCAATTGAAATGTTTTGTACCACTCATATGTTTGTGTTTTTGACATACTTGAGTCCCCAAAGGTTTTTTACAAAATTTTCAAAGATTTAGGTACTACACGAATTTTTGTGGGCAACACAAAATTTCAAACAAATTCTCTGATCGGTTGTGGAATCCATAAAGAAAAATCGCAAGTCTGACTTAACCACAAGTTATGGTAAAAATGATTTTAAATGAACCACATGACCTATAGAGGTAAAATTTGACTTGGTAGGAGAGTATGGTTGTACCAATATACCAAACAATAATTATTAAGATATCTTCTACGTGAACTCTTTAAATCGAAAATTCCCGATACTTTTTTTACAGAGTAATACATAGGAATGTAATGTGAAAAATCCTCTCTACAACGGACCCATAAATGTCATATAAATTTACCTCTTACAACGGACAGACCGACAGAGGGGTTTACTCTAAAACAGGTACCAAAGTCTACTCTAAAGGAGGTACAAACAAAAACACTCCGCCACTGGTGCTGATCTCACGGTTACGACCATGGAATTTGTAAAATAAAATGGAGATGCCATTTCGTCCTCAAAAATACAACCAGCAGTGTACAGCTAAATGTTTTTGTTGTATTACCACCTACTTACCCACTTCAGTAATAAGTAATATAAATAAAAAATAATAATTTTATCAGTAAATGTCAACTGTTTTATAAATGAACTTTTATATAAGATTCAATGATTTCATTAATGAGTTGCAGAATACAGAATAACTCCAAGAAAAACTTGTTAGTTAAAGTAATGGACTTCAAAAACATAATCAAAAGAACTTTTGGTTTAAACAAACAAAAATTAACGATTTTTTTTAAATACCTAAATATGTTTTCCTCTACTTTTTTTTGTAATGCTTTTAATATCTCTTTGTATTTTTCTTACTTTATTTTGTTATTTTGAATAAAAAAAGGTTTTCATTTTTTTTATTAATTTTGCACACCTCCCATTTGGGGACACCTCTTCACAACGGACAATTAAAGATTCCCCATCGGTGTCCGTTGTTGAGAAATTTTACTGTATTTAAATAATAAAAATGCTGCAAATGTGTCTTGTACAGACAGGCTGTTCTAAGATTATTTAGTATTAATGAAATGTTACTTCTGTAATACACCCCAAAAGGCCTTATTATTTTCTTATTTTATATACTACAATAAATTTAAGAAGTTTATTTGAAAAGTTAAGATTGGTTAAATCTAACAAAAGCATCATTTTTAATCAATTCATGACAATATTTAAGAAAACGAAAGTTAAGTTATAAATAATTTTACATTTTATGTTTTTTTTGTAAAGTTTTTATTTTTAATAAGCGTTCTAACTATTGTAGGGCTCCATTATTCATTTTAAACATGGCTATGGCTACAAACTAAATAATTCGTCAAATCAAATATGTATAATAACATATTAAAAACTCTATTGTAGACTAAATTAATCAATTTTCACATTAACAATTTTTATTCTTGCCGGCAAGTTGTCCTCCAACTGTAAATTTTTCTTTATTACATTTAAAAGTTTTCCATAAGAAAAAGAAACAAAAATGGAAATTGCATTTTTTAATATTCATAGATATGTACATAACCGAGGCGTTTGAAATTAGAGTAGCCTATCTCATAAAATTTAAACTTAGTTTTACTTTCAGACCAACTGCTTATTGTTCAAATTTTCAGTAAAACATTGACCAATCGTTTTAATTATGTAAAAAATATATACGGTAAAAGATTGAATTTGAAATAAAATAAAATTTTACAAGTAGAAATTTTTAATTTTTGTAGGAATTTCACCTAATATTAGTCAGACCACTCTAATTCTCAATGTCTCAATTGTTTTCATGCATTTTGCATTACACTGACATGCTATTAGGACATTATGTTATTAGGAGTAAAAGTGATATTTTATGTGGCGAAGCTGAACGTTTATTTTGCCGAGCCACATAAACCCTTGACTCCAAATAACGTACCTACACGGTGAATATAAAGTATGGAACCAAGCAATTTTTTTGATCATTTGTTTCCAGAAAATAATAATTAATATAAATTAAAGTAATATAAAAAATGTGATCGCATTTTGAGAATAAAATTTTGTTATGTTTTTGAGTTAGGAATGCGATTTTTGTAAAAATCTTCTTTTGAAAAAATTAAATATAAAGTAGATAGTTGTAATCGTTAGATCATAACCTTCATGAGAAAAATGGTTTTATAGTGGGTTGCCATTTAAAAAAAATATTTTTTTTGTAAAACTCAAAAACAAAATAAAGTTTCGAAAATTTTTATTCGTAATAATAAAACATCACATTTTTATGGTACTTTATCATTTAGTTTTTCAAAAAAATAAATAGTTTAAGCAAAAAACGTTTGGTTCCATACTTTTTATTTACTTGGAATACTATGTTATTCGCAAACTTTTTCAGATGGAGGAAGGAGCAACACAATAATGTCATTAATGTCAATAATTATCAAATCATAACAAACGTCACGAGTCAGTTTCAAAATTAATGTTGAGATTTTCGAAAGTGTTGATTGATTTATCAAGTGAATAAGTAGTGTAGTCATAAATGTCAGGTAATAGTGAAAAACGCTTAAGCGAAAAAATAGTATTTTTACTCCATGTCTGAAAGGTAAAACTTTTACTTGTATCATTTAGTCATAAAAGCGTTATTTTTCTGACATTTGAGAATAAATGTCTAATTCAACTTCTCGAGCTTTGAAAACTCTTTGAATACTTTTTTTGTTCGTATAAACATGTATTAATCCTAAATGTTTTTTATGTACACCATTTCTAAATTCGTAACTTTGTATGAAGATTGAATTGCGGTTGAAGAAGAGTATGAATTTTATTGGTGCTTTTACACATAGTTAGTTGTACATACATAATGTACATATCTACTGTTGTTGTTTCCAAAAATTAGTTTATAAATTAAAAAATAATAATTTGTAAAGTGGTTTAGTATGATTTTTTTATTTTTATGTATTTTTATAAAAAACTTTTTTTTTAATCAAATTTTTAACAAGATTCTTTCTCGGGTACCAAATTATTGTAGTATATTTGGAAAAACACACTCCACTTCTTGGATTAGGCATATTTACATAATTTGCACAAACAAACAGTGCTAAGAATTGACTCCAAGTGACCCAAATCAGAAAGGTCAAGATAAGAATAAGAACTTACAAATCTACTGACTGAGTCAAAAAATGAAACCAAAAACAATTAAATTCGTTTTATTTACCAAACAACATATAATTTTACATTTAATGATGACCGCCATGCGTTCCCTGATCATGAGTTCCACCACCAATTAGACCTCCTTGGTGACTTCCTTGATGACCCCCTTGATGTGTACCATGGGTGCCATAATCATGAGTGCCTCCTCCGATCAGTCCTCCTTGGTGGCTACCGCTACTGCCATGATGGGCAGACTCGCCAACACCGTGCCCAGTGTGGTGGTCAGGACGAGGAGCTGCAGACACAGCCACCAACAAAATAAGACAAATGACCTAAAATATGAAAGTTAACATAACATACGCTGAAAAAATATAAAACTTACAAGTGTTTTCATTGTGAAACAATTGCTTTGAAACGGATAATAACAAGAACTATGGAATTGAGTGAAGTTGGAAGCTTTTATATTTTTTTAATATCATTAAAAGAGTGTTTATCGCTTGTGAGTGTAGAAGGATAATGTGATAACCTGTTAATTGTTTATGTGGAATTTATTCTAGTCTGTATTTATTTATAAATTTATGTGACCACAAGTGTGATAAACCATGTTTTTGACAGTATACAGGATGTTTCGCCTAAACCCCACTTTATAAGTATTGGGAGTTGGAATAATCGTATTTATTTGAAAATTAGTACATAGCCATAAACCATTAAGTACCCATAAATGAAAATATTTTCAAGATGGCGACACTTCCGCTTATACCAAAAGTCGGTCTCAACTTTCTTATTTTAATGGAAAGCTATATTTTTTACTGCGTTTTTGGATCAATCGGGTTATTTTAAGGGAGTTTTCATCAACTTTCCCTATACCTACATTTAGCCGTTTTTAAACTATTTGGAGTTTTTCAAAAAATTTTGGATCTGCACCTTCCACTTTAAAAATCGGTAACTCTGCCGTTTTTTAAGATTTTAAATTTGTTTTTTTTTGGCGTTTGAAAGAAAAAGCTTAGATCCTTTTTCTGGTGTTTTGGAAAAAAAATAACATATCCCAAAATTTTAAGGTTACTTTTGTAATAATTCAATTACTCATAACTCAATTTTTTTAAATGAAATACCCCAATTTTTATTTTACTAACTAGAAGAGAATTTAATTGTTTTCACATAGTTTGCTATGGAAATCAAAAATGTCAAAATTATTTCTCAATAAACGTCGACAGTGATTTGACAAATAGTGCCAAAATATGGAGAATCAAAGTTATGCAAACTTAATTATTATTGATGCGATCATTATTTAAAACTAACAAGTAAGAAAAATTTATTTTTGTTTAATGAACGACATGATAATTTTGTTACACTCTCCATAAATACAAAATAAATTAATTAAATCTAAGTTTGAGTATCTTTGACTCTCCATATTTTGGCACTGTCGACGTTTATTGAGACACAATTTTGACATTTTTGATTTCCAGGGCAAACTATACGAAAACGGATGTGGCTAGTAATAGATTTTCGGCAGTCTTAACAAAAAGTCACCATAAATTATTAAATTTAGGTAGGTATAGGGAATGTTAATACAGATCGATGCAGAATTCTCTTCCATTTAGTAAAATAAAAATTGGGAAAAATTGAGTTATGGGTATTTGAATTATTACAAAAGTAACCTTAAAATTTTATGGTTTGTTATTTTTTTTTTTTCAAAATTTGAAAACACCGGAAGAAGGATCTAAACTTTCTCTTTCAAACGGCAAAAAAACGAATTCAAAATTTTAAAAAATAGCAGAGTTACCGATTTTTAAAGTGGAAGGTGCAGATCCAAAAAATTTTGAAAAACTCCAAATATTTCAAAAACGGCTAAATTTAGGTATAAAGAAAGCTGATAAAAACGCCCTTAAAATAACCCGATTAATCCAAAAACGCAGTAAAAAATATAGCTTTCCATTTAAAATAAGAAAGTTGAGACCGACTTCCGGTATAACCGAAAGTGCCGCCATCTTGAAAATATTTTCATTTAGGAGGACTTAATGCATTATGGCTATGTACCAATTTTCAAACAAATATGATTATTCGAACTCCCAATACTTTTACTGTGGAGTTTAGACGGAACACCTGTATTTCTAATTTATTAATTGTAGACTTATACGTACACAGGTGATTTACCTTAAGGTCAACCACGACACTGATATAGTGATGTTGCCTAAAGAAAAAGAGCCTATTTTTTTCTAACACACAAATTTAATTTTTTTATCTATGACAATTATTATACAGTGAGCGGCAAAATTATGGAATAATCTTATTTATTAAAACTAAACATATTTTATTCTGACAAGAATGTTCGAACAGGTTAATTTTCTTTTTAAAAAATACAAAATTTTCAACTCCCTAAGGTCACTCGAATTTTAAACTATCGAATATTAAACTCTTGCTGTCTTAATCGCTATATTATATTAGTCAAAAATAATTTTAGTAACATTATACTTAAAACTTTATTTTGTAGTCTTACAAAATAATAGCTTTATAATGTATAAGTGAATTATATTTTTTTTAATTTGCCGATAACATAAACCAAGATTATTTATGAGTACTTATATAATTGTCTAAAGTTATGTGTAACATATTTATTGCTGTTTAATCGTAAGTAATAAGAGGGTCATCCATCATAATAGGTGGGTTATTATTTGCAGTATTAATTGGATTGGGTACATCATGGGTACTACGACCATCCGTTATGATGTGAAAGGCATCATTTATTCTGTCGAATATGACGAAACGTTTAACACGTACTTCTGACGGTGAAGCTCCTTCAAAAAGTTTAGCACCTGCAACCTGAAAATAGTAACATTAAAAAAGTATTTTTAAAATGTCAAATATTAATAATTATTACAACAAAAGACCGCACATTTTCATGTAACTTCTTTCAAATTTATTTTATTTAACTTGTGACTGAAATCAAAATACAAACTTGTGTATTTCCAAAAATGTTTTATTTAAAATATCATTATTAATACGCTACAAGAACCCAAAGGCAAAAGTAATTATTTTTAAATTTCAGTGTAATTAACAAAAAAAATTAAAGATAAATATGGCATTATGTATACATTAATATTGAATGATGAGCTAAAAGTATGTAAGTGTATATCCTGAATAATGCGGTTTACATTTTAAAATCAGTTATTTCGAAAAAATTTTTTTTTTCAAACAATGGCAAGTGATTTATAGTTTCAATAATAATAATTTTATTTTCTGGGTTCTTGATCAAGTGGAGGTTTAAATGTCGTTTGATAGCTCTGTCCATTGTTAAATTTTTGTTGGTGGTGTTGTCCAAAAACAAGAGTCTGTGCTGCAGCACCAAATCTGTCAAACAAATTGGAAATTTGCCCAGACGCTTCCGATATTACAGTAATAGAAATAAAAGTCTAGAAAAGTCGATGAAACTGGTTACACTTAAAAAATGATAATAAAATATGTTCTTACCAAGGTTAAAATAAAGAAGATGCGAGACATGTTTTTTATTTTAGTAAAATTCTTCTTCTTCACTAAAATAAAGAACTGAATGTATTTTATTGTGTGTAGGTATTTATACCCAAACAACGCATATTAAGTGATAAAATTATAGCACAAGTAATTAAGCTATCATTTCAAAAATTCCCGAGGGATTAGTTAGGTACTTCTGTTTAGAGAACAGAGACAAATATGTATGACGCTCATTTTTTGCTATGTAACCTAAGGTATGTGTATCCTCTAACTTTTTTATTATCAATGTAAGCCACGCTTTTATTGTCATTACGACTGACGTTTGAAACTGAAATTTAAAAGTTTTAGTTGTAATTTATTTTAGTTGAAATTATAAGTCTTGCTATAGCCATTGCCACTTCTGTCATTATCCACAATGATTTTTCTGTATGAAAAAGTGCATGCAAGCACGTAACTACAGGGGGGTCTGAGTGGGCCATGGCCCACCAAAAATTGTGCTGGCCCACCCTTTGGCCCACCTGCTTCAAAACGAAAAATTGATTTTTTTAAATAAATCTTATTACTGTTTATACAACTTTAACATATTAGTTTTTTTTACAGAAGTATCATTTCCCAGACCACTAACATTGAGTTTTTTAAGACTGTGCTTGTTTTTAAAACATGGTATTATGAGATTTATTATCTTCTGATGCTTAGTGTTATTTCAAACCAAATTACAGTTGCCTGTCAATTTTTTTTTATTGAAATTATGTGTACAAGTACATTTGTTGTTTATAATTATTATATATGATACATTTATTCGTGTACATCATATGTTTAATTAAATTTAATAATCAAAGTCAACATCCCCAAATGGTCCACTTCCAAACTGTCCACCTCCAAACTGTCCACCTCCAAATTGTCCCCCTCCAAACTGACTACCTCCAGACTGACTACTTCCAAACTGGCCACTTGAAAACTGTTCACTTGTGAATTGTCCACTTTCAATTTGACTACCCCCAAATTGCCCACCTCCGAATTGTCCACCTCCAAATTGACTACCACCATATTGTCCGCCTCCGAATCCTCCGCTTCCAAAAGAACCAAAACGACTCTCAGTTTGTGTTGGTGGCGCTGCTAAAGCAACACCTGCTACACAAAATACCTAAAAAATATGTTAGCAATTAAAAAATAAAGTGATTTATTTATTTACAAGTAAAAAATAGTGGACAAAACGTAACATTTTCAAGCGAATTAGAAAAACTTAATGAACTTTTGTTATTTATATAATAGATTCAGACATTAATTTGTACCACGTGACGCCTTTAATGACCAAATTTGGAATTATTGTAGCTCATTACATGGAAGTGATTATATTTTTTCTAAATTCCCATTTGTTTAATGTTCCAACGATTAGTGATGTTCTTTACAGTAAACATTAAAAACTTTGAAGGAAATAAATAAATAGAATCCCTAAGATTATTAAAAAAAAAACTTAATCAGCCTGTATGTATAATAATAAAGTGTTTTTATACTAATGACTATGTGTCTCCATCACATTTATTGTTGCTAATTAATACATTAATCAAAAATTTTAAGTTTGTCATCAAGGCACAATGCTTATGTTTGATTGTATTATAATTAATGATTTATGTTGCTCGCAAGCTCACTCAGTCATAAGCTATAGGGCTCGTCCATAAAAACCTATTTTGTGTACTTATAAATAGATATTAAAGCAAACATTAAAAACCGAGTACAGAATGCCACTTTTACAACGTGAAAAAATAGTGTGAATGTAAATTTTTACTTTCCAATTTAAACTGAACACGCAATATGCTTCATTTTGAAAGTCTTCCTCGAAAAGGTTGTAACCAATTTACTAAAGAATAAAAAATATATTTAGTCACTTGATATTAATAAGACCATTCCAATTTTTTATTTCTGTATATTATCTACTCTAACTGTAAGTAATTAGCAGTGATGAAAGTAGAACTTATTGTTTTCTCCTTTTAGCGTTAAACTGTGAATAAGTTTGAAAGTCTTAACGTTTATAAAAGAATAAAAACACTTCCACCTAATTCTTTAAGTTATTTTATATGTTTTTGTCCACTAGGTTGTACCTAACCATAAAATGGTGAGTAGGTTTTTTGTATTTACCTTAGAGAAAAATGTAACACAATACTTTTTAGGCAAGTAACGCATTGATACTGTTATCATTAGCTGTGCTAATGTTGGCAGTGACTGCACACTTACCAGTTTCCAACAACATTAATACTTTGAACAAAATATCAATTTTTCGGGAGAAACGGGAATTCGACACTCGAAATTTCAACGATTTAAGCGTTTTAAACGATGGAGAAGAGAACAATTCAATAAATGTTTTTGAAAGAAAGAGAAGACAAGTGGATACTAACGATGGTGATTTCATTAGTTTTAGACAAGGATCAAGGAGAACATCTCAACCGACTAGAAGCTCCAAAAGGAAAACGACAAAAAGAAAACTAAGGTGGTATTATTAAGTAATTCTATAATTAAACAGAATATAAGAAGTATTACTTACAATAATCGATTATTTTTTAACAAACTTAAGTAAATCTAATTGTTTTATTTATATTCTTATATGTTATTTACAAATTCTAACTTGAATAAAATAAAAGTTGCTTTTTGTATTCAATAATCTGTCTTTCCATGTATTATTAATCATGTTTGGAGATAATGCTATCGTTATTCTTAACCAGGTTTGGATTTAGTTTTAAGAAGAAATTACATAACATAATGATAGTCAAACATTGATACTTTTCAATTACATTAGTTGTAAGTTTTTTGTTGTTTTATTTTTGCAATGGATGAATTTTTTATACATATTTTGTTTGTTTATGTTTTAGTAAAAATGGTTTTGTAAAAAAATATTTTTGTTTTCTTTTTAAAAAATTATATCTAATACCTATACAGGCTGCGCCAGAACTCGCGCCCCAGAGAAAAATTTTAAGTAAGGGTAAGATACCAGGAACATGGAAAAAAATTCTATCTGTCAAAATATTTTTACATTTATTTTTGGACATTTGACATTTTTTTATATCTATTTAATGATACTGATGATCTTGTATATGTTCTTGTACAATTATTTAGTAAAGGGACAAAAATTTTGTCAGTAAAAACCACAAATAACATTGAACAGAGTTACAATTTAGGATACAGCTTCCTTGTTTCCTCTTTTAATAGCCTGTAGCAAAAAAACTTGGAAAATTATTTTTCATACAGAAATAAATAGAGTCAAAGTGCAAAATTTAAACCCTAATAACTTCGAAATTTTTATAGATAATTTTTTTTTGTTCCTGGTATCTTACCTTATATGGTATTTTTCTCTGGGGCGCGAATTCTGGCGCACTCTGTATATGATTCTATGATATATGATTATAAAATCTTTAAAAGTATTGGTGCTAAAGGTCACGTGACTTTTTATAAAGGCAATGAAGAAATTATTCATTTTTAATAACACGTAACACCTTTTTGCATAATTAAAATTAAATTTATTTGATGAATCAGAATATCTTATTTTTCCATTATTGGTACTAACTACATTACCTATACTACATCAATAATTCTTTTACATACTATATATAATTAAAATTATACCAAATAAAAAAATTCCCTTATGTTTACTGTTTTACGGAATAGAAAAGTTGAGCCAAAGATTACATTACTGACATTATTATAGTTTACACAAAAGGACAAATATGTAAAACTAATCAAACATCATCAAGAGTAAAACAATAGCGAATTCTCATTCTCATTTTAAAATAGAAAATGATTGTTCATTATTGATCTTTCAAGTTAGTACCAACCTATTAAATTGAACTTGAAAGTACAAAACTTGATAAAAATAATTCTTTCTGTCAACTCACAACACACAAGAATAGCTGGTTTATTCGAGAACATTAGTATTAATTAACCAACCGACTTTTGCAAACTAATATTTTACGTTTACACATCTCATCTATAAGGTATATAAAGCTTTTGTTTGGTTTTCAGACATCAGTCCCGTCATAAGTAACAACTAGATAGTTTCTGTGTTGTGAAAATTCGCAATATGGTACATAAATGGTAAATTAATAATATAGACATCTTATTTTATCACTTTTTTAGGCAGCGAGTACTTTTTTATTATTAACCACAATTCTAATAGCTTTAACATCAATACTTTCTTTACCCAATCACAAAGAAAACTTAGAAGAACGCCAGGAACGATCACTTGATCCAAATTTTGTTAGACGGTACAATCACCTTAAATATGAATATAGAAATAATCCATTAGCTTTCGATTTTCTCAAATATTTTCTAAGAAATAGAGGACAAAAAAGGGAAAGAAGGCAAGTTAATAACAGATTTGTGGCAAACAATGCAAATTTTGGCAACGGATTTATCACGTATACAAATCCAAACCTAGCATCGACACCCCGAACAAAAAATAACAAGAGAGATGTTATCAGAAGAAGAAAGTCTTTTAGGCCCCAAATGGTTTTCTTCTAAACAGAGCGGATTATAAATGAACTAAAATGTCTTGCCTACAATTTTACAAATTTTATTGTACATATAAAGTGTTTGAAAATGTTTTATTTTAAGAACAAATAAAACTTGTTATTTTAAATTGCTAAATTACCATCATTTTCCTTCTCCTTACTTCTCACTCTGCTTTCTTTTAAATTTTGCAGTGCATGTAATATCTTCTTTTGCTTTTACCATAAAGAAAAATGTTTATCTTAATTTTTAACATACAATTTGTTTCATTCTTACGTTTACATATTTATCCTACATTTCAATTAATTTTTAACATTTTTGTTTTTACTTTTATGAAGTGTCCTCCTACATTTACAACTTTACACAATTATACAAGGTGCGCCAGAACTCGCGCCCCAGAGAAAATTTTCAAGTAAGGTAACATACCAGGAACATGAAAAAAATGTTTAAAAAATTCTATCTGGCAAAAAATTTTGACATATAATTTTTGACATTTGACATTTTTTTATATCTATTTAATGATAATGATGATCTTGTATATGTTTTTTTACAATTGTTCAGTAAAGGGACAAAAATTTTGCCAATAAAAGCCACAAATAACATTGAACGGAGTTACAATTTAGGATACAGCTTCATCTTTTAATAGCCTATAGCAAAAAAACTTGGAAAATTATTTTTACAACAGAAATAAACAGAGTCAAAGTGCAAACTTTAGTAACCTCGAAATTTTTATAGATAAATTTTTTTAACATTTTTTCCATGTTCCTGGTATCCTACCTCATATGGCATTTTTCTCTGGGGCGCGAGTTCTGGCGCACCCTGTATGTTTACGCATTTACCTATTTTATTTATATAGGTATATTAACTTACTCTTTGTTCTAAAAATCTTTAATTTAGTAATATTATTACGTTGTTTCTTGCTCTTTTCTAGGATTTTTTGACATCTCACTTTTCAGTATTATTTGAACGAACTTATCTCTGATCTTTTGTTGTTTTACTATACATATAATTTTGCAAAAACTCTATTAACTTTCAATACGATGGTTCGTCCACAATCAAACTTTTATGAAAGCTTTGACGCCAAATTAAAAAAAACACCCGTTACAATGTACAGTTTTTAAAGTAGTACTCCTAAATTTGAATTGATCATAAAATAATATGAACTTTATTTGTTAGCTAGCAACTCAGAAACGACTAAGCTCTTCATTTTCAAATTAATAAAAGTATTTTCTAGTTCACGAAAACTACGTGTTGCTATTTGCTTGTAATAGTCATAAGTCCTTTTATTTTTATCATTGTTGTGATAGCCTCTTACTCCTATGTTTTAATCAATTAAAACTGTGAACATGAAATCATACGACATATTTACACAATTATGAAAATGTGTTATATGTCAACAATTTATCAGATGATAAAAACTGTCTGCAACTGAAGGATATTTATAAGTCAGTTTATTTCAAATCACTGCTCATAAATTTTATACAAAAACTTTGATTCGTCCTTGCTTGAAGGCAAATTTTCAACTTGTAGTCCGTTGTTAATTTTGCATCAATAGTAACCTGTTCCTTTTAACAAATTTAACAAAACATGATGAAATTAAAGAAAACTATAATCATTCAGATAAGTTCCGTTATTTTGGCTTCTTTTGACCTCTACTATCTACAATTGGCAGATACAACTCGGACTACTCGGTATAAAAACCTTGTTTTTAGTAATAAAACTAACACTAATCATTAAGTTAATAAACTAAACAAAACAAATTTTATTCCTAAAGAGTAGATAAGTTAGGTGTTTTATTATTTCTACTTCAGGATCGTTATATTCCTGTTGACGAGAAAAATATACAATAGTCCTTTTAATAAAAATAACATATTTATTATTAATAAAATTATTTGATAAAAACATTCTTACTAACATAAAAAAAAATAAATAAATCACTTAACTAATAGAATCTTGAATAATTCCATGGTCTCCAATAGTAACCCCCCCAGTAATTATAATTTTGCTTGCTTTGTGGTGTTTTTCTTTTATTATATTGTATTCTTTGAACTTGTCCCTTTCTTCTCGAAGCAAATTTTCTTCTTGATGCAAATTTCGGCAAAAACACTTGTTCAGCAGTAACCAAAATTTCATCATTGTCATTCCCACTTTGATCCATAACCTGCGATAACGATTCTGATAGTGCTTTATTTTTTCTTGTCTCTGTTTTGCATTTTACACCACTAATTATACAAATCAAACAAAGATAAAAAATTATTTTGGCGCAAGTTACTCTAAAATTCACTATCAACTTATTCATCTTGTGACCAATATACCTTTTAATTATTTTGTACCTCGTTTGGTCCGAATTTATTCCTTAAATAGTCTAGAAGAAGAAGGTTAACAAAGAACTGCTTTATTCTGGTTTTTCAGTTTGTTTGTACACGAGTGACATCGGCATTATACAGTTTCAATTATCACAAGAAGGTGATTAAACTTTACAAAAGGTGGAGTCTGATGGAGTCACATTTTCTTTCGGTTATTTTAGCAAAAATTCTTGTAATTAATGTTAAACTGTATCGGCGATTGTCAGATGCTGCATAAGAGGCCATGGTCGTGACATTTATTACAAAAACAACAACACGAGTCTAGCTAAATAAAGTTCAAAATATTTATTTTATATTAAATGTAAGTATTTATTTATTAACATGTAATTACACACAAATGAAGACAAAATTATAGAAAATATGAAGCTCCTACTTGTAATTTGAGAAGTCATAGACTTTAGAATCTATATCTTTGACTTTGTGTTCTTCTATAAGTAAATCGAGGTAGAAAGACGGCGGATTCAGCAGTGTCCATATTTTCTCCACCAGTTTTTTCACCACTATGCAAGGTCGATGAGGTTTTTACATCGTCTGTTGGTTTTGTTAAAACCGGCATTACCAAAGCCACTACCATCAAACAAAGAAGAAAACGTTTCATCATCTGCAATTATATTAGAACCAAATATTTGAAATCAAAACAAATTGTAAAGATTATTTTTGAAATTTTTTTATTGTCACTTATGTTCAAAAGTATAACCAAAAATTAAGTATGACAAACAGCCATAAAGAATTTTAATATGTCTTTAGTACAAGATGTTTATTTTATCTTGTCTTTCATATATGAAATTTTGGTACAGGATAAAAACAGATTTATAGGTATAAAAAAATCAGTTTAGTGTTTCTCTTCTGAAAGGCTATGAACATGGGCGTCGTTACAAATTTTTTTAGAAGGGGGCAACCTCATCGCGGTTTAAAAATACATATTTTATTACAAACACAAAAACATGTTATACAAAATAGGAACATAAAACCATATTTTTTTCTAACGGAAATTGTAAATGAAACCATAAGACAGGAATCTCTAAAACCATAAATTGGAGTATAAAAGTGTAAAAGTTAAAAAAATATATAAAAAACAAAAAAATATACAAATTATAAAAGTTAAGCATAAAATAACACAAATCAGTAAATAACATGAACTAATAAATACTAAGAAAAATGTAACACTTGGAAATCAAAATATAAAATAAAAACTCTTTCAAAATACATTCAAAAAAGCAATAATCAATAGAAATAAAAAAATTAAAGAAATAAAAGTTTTAAATTTCGTTTTTCTCAACCAAAATCGTCTATGATAAAAAAGTTAAAAAACGTTACTAAAAAAATGTTTAAAAAACACGTTGCAAAATGAGCGTGTTTTTTACTAGACGTGTGCAAAAAACAGCCATTTTGAATCGTGTTTTGTACAAGATTTTTTCCAATTTGGTTGTGAAAAGCATAGGCATCAAATTCGAATTTAAAATCTGTGATTTCAATAATTTTCCAAAATCATAGTAGGTCGTGATGTCATATTTTATAACTAGTGATAAAATTAAACACATTTGACAACTAAAATGACATATCACAATGGTTGATTTTACAACAAAATTGAAAAAAAAAATAGTTTACCGCTAACGAAATAAAACTTATTCCGAAAAATGTCTTAGGCTAACTTCCAGGGGGGGGGGCACATGCCCCATCTTGCCCCCTTCAAACGATGCCCATGGCAATGAAACTCAAAAATAAGTCCGATTTTTATTAGTAGGACCCATAGCTAAAGATATAGCAATTTATGACTATAATATTTTTATTTTGCCAATATACAGGGTGATTCTTAAATAGACCGACAAAATTTTATCACATCTTCCTCAGGATAAATGGAGACAAACTTTACCCTTTTTATGTTTATACCTTTTAGGGGCAAAACCCCCTTGATCCGTGCCACTTACGGCGTTTATGAATTGTTGCAATAGTCAAGTACGTTAATACCATGGTTACCACTACCTGTGCTAACACATCAGTGGCGTACGCTTTACTTGGAAAATAAATTTAATAAATTTTATTTGAAGAACGTTTAAACAAAGAATTTTTTAAATATTTTTTCCAGCATGTTCTCATTTGATACTACGAGTACCAAGGATAAAATTTTGTCGGTCTATTTAAGAATCACCCTGTATTATATCGCACAAACAAATTAACTGGAATAGGGTATGTAATTAACATATAATACTTACGATTACAAACAGTGCGTTTTTAACTTTGTACATGCAAAGTAAAACTGATCTATAATACTTTTTATAAACAAATATAAATCCGCATTGATAATACAAATTGTGATTAATAAGATTTTTAAGAAAAGCAATAAAATTAGTTGTTTATTTTTTTCTCAGACTCGTTCTCAGAGCTCACAATTTCCAAGTAATACAAAATTACTAAATACATTCCTCCAAAAAAATTTTGATTAGAGACAAAATAAGAATTGTCACATGTCAACGATAACAGTGTTATCATATTATTAATTGTAATAATTATTTAAAAAGTTAATGTGATTCACAGAGGTTAAAGTTACCCAAGAATCTGTTGTTAAATTTAATAAAGATCTTGCAATTTTTTATTTCTCGACTATTTCGACTTTTATTTATTTTTGGGCGATTGAGCTCTATTTGATTGTTTATCACTTCTGTTTCCAAGACAGTAAGTTGTATTTACTCGTTTTGTTGATTGTTGCTAAGTCGGTTTGTATTTAAAAATGTTCTAGAACAGCAAAGTATTTTGCAAATACTTTGCCGTTTTAGAACATTTTTTAAATATTTTATTTAAAAAAATTAAAAAAATTATTCGCACAAAAAAAACTTACCGTTCTTGATGTGTTAGGAGTTGAGATTTAATTAGAAAAAATATTCGTTTTTTAGTTCCGCTTCGAATGTTATAAAAATAAACAGGGGTCCCAATTTAAAATAAGAAAATTAAAAAAATGTTCGTTTTTGAAATACGCATTGAATGTTTTTCAAACATTCTTCATAAATGAGAATCTTGTTGGTCTTTTTGGCAACATTTTAGTAATTCTCACCAAATTCTCCAAGGTTTGACATTTTATAAATTAAAGTTGAAGTGCTGTTTGGTCACTATGTTTAATTTATTAATACAAAATATTTTAATATCCACGTTATCTTTGAAATGTAATGTTGGTTGCATCAAAGATTTTTTCAGGCTCATTATTACTCGTGGGACACCTGTATGTAAGTTCAATAAGCAACACTGAAAACACTGTTATCAAATATCAAAATAAAAATATTCCTGTTGGGTCGTTTAAATATTAATTTAAAAAACAGTCTTTGTTTTCGTTGCTACCTAATTAACTTGACAAATATCACAATTATTTACCGTTACCCAGAATAATATAAACGGTATTAAAGGTTGCCTATCGCTATCTTTACAAAGTAATTTTCAAGATTCATTTGCAGTTATAATAAGAAATCAACTATGTATTATTATATGCCGCAAAACATACCTACATAAAATCTTGTTCTTCTAAAACTTTTTTACCGACTTATCACTTACTGTGAACTAAAAAAAGCAATTTTGGGTGGTAGATGTTAATTTTTTTTATACTTTTTATACTTTCACCATTGTATTGTTTTTTTTATAAACAGTTTAAAACAATGCAGAAGCCGGTAAATCTGTGAAGACGTCGGATTTTTAATTTTGTGCGACACATTAGAGACATATTATTTGTTTTTTTTTCTTGTCTCTCTAATACTCTAATACATTTTGGAGAAAAATGCCAAGTAAGATAAGATATCGGAACATGTAAAAAATGTTAAAAAAAAAACTTAGAAACCACGAGAGTTTAAATTTTGCAATTTGACCCTTCTTATTTTTAATAGAAAAATAATTTTACATGTTTTTTTGCTGCAGGCTATTAGAAGAGAAAACAAAGAAGCTGTATCTCGTTAACTATGTTTAAATTTATTATTTATGGCTTTTACTGGCAAAGTTTTTGTACTTCTACAAACTAATTATGAAAAAACATTTACTTATAAGATCATAGGTAACATTAATAAGACATAAAAAAACTGAATGTCAAAATTTTTTTTAACTTTTTTTTCATAGGGTAAACCAGGGTGATCGGTGAATCGTGTAAAACGATTGCACGATTGCAACGATTGCACGAAAGTGCAAAATTTAAGCTCCCATAAGGTTGAAATTTTTATAGATAAAATTTTTTCATGTTCCTGGTATCTTACCTTATATGGCATTTTTCTCTGGGGCGCGAGTTGTGGCGCACCCTGTATTTTATGAAAAAAATTATATTTTTATTTTGTTTACATAAACAATTTCTTGTGTTCTACAGAGCTCAATTTTTTTGTTCACCATATCACCATGGTTTACCTTATTTATGGTTAGAAATATTTATCTTACTTGACATTTTTCTCTGAGACGCGAGTTTTGAAACAGCCTGTATAGGCTATAGCAGTTAGAGTAAAATATTTTTATTAAAATTAAAATATGTATTATAAGATTAAATACAACTTATAATTCAACTGTTTATTATTTTTAAATAGTACAAAAGGAATAAATAAGTATCAAATAATATATCACATTTAAAAAAAAATATAAATAAAAAATACTTTTACTATAAGCCCAAAGAATTAAGCGACAGTAGGAAATCGATCGTCTTGATTAAAACCGTTACTGTATCTTCTCCTAGGAACATATACTCTTCTTCTTTGACTTTGTACTCTTCTGTACGAATACACTGGTCGGAAGTTATAATACATGGTGTTTGCCGTATTCATAACCTCGCCATCAGGATTTTGATTGATCAAGTTAAGTGAAGTTTCTTGATTACCACTATTCCTTGGGGTTACAGGCATACCATAGATGAAGGGCACGATCAAGACAATCAAAAAAACACATTTCAAAATATGTGCCATCTGCAGTTAAAATATATTTAAATAAACTATCCCTAGTACAATTATAAAATCACTTACTTTTTAAACGTATGTTTCTGGGTCAAATATCTTCTGCTTCTAGTAAGTTCAAATCTAGACTGAGAAACTAAAAGTGTGGTAAGCTAATTTATAGTCAGTTTGTTTTTAGAGGAACAGAATCACATTTTCCAGAAAAGACATTACAAATTTATGTTTACGAAACTTGTTAAGACATGCTTAAATCTATAAGCGCAAACTTGAATGATTCCTAATTATTTGATTAGTAACAATACTAATTAGAAATGTTAATTATGGAAAACAAGTGGCGTCTTGGTGTCCATATATGCGGTGCCATCAAAACATTTTTTAACGTAATAAAATTGTGGCTGTTTGAAGAAAATATTTATTTTATTAATTTACAAAATATGGAAATTTTACTAAGCAACATGAAAATGTCATTGTGACTTTTACTTCTTTTTTCCACAATTTTCCTACTTTGTGGGTTGTTTTTGTTGTATTTTGAATGTTACAAATTGTGTTAGTGGTATGTATCAGTTGACGGATTTGAACGATAGCAAAATGTTCTATCGGATATTTCACTTCATCGAAATGGTCAGTATGCCTAAATTAAAATTAAAATTGAATTACATTTTTCAGATGATTTTTGGCATTTTTAATGGACTTGTGTCTCTTACGAATAACTCAACAGTAAAAACGGTGTGTATTGTGACTGCTTGTGTCGTTTTTGAAATCCTTATGTATGTGGTACTGGGAATAACTTGCGTTTTTATTTCTCTAATTATCCAAATTCATGATATTATCGAAAATAATCCAGAAAAATCTAATAACAGTGTAGAAGAGGACAATCAAATAGTAATGAATGTGAAATAAAGCAACACTTAAAATAAACTAAAATGTGTATTGTATTTGATGTTTGCTTAGCTGTAACAGCAAATGTTCCGTATATTTGTGAAAACAATTAGTAGTCACTGTACAGTTTTCTTAAATTGCATTTGTGTCTCCGAAGCAAGAGGAATAATTGATTTTAAACTAGAAATTTTGTCTGGCGAGAAAAATAGTTAAGTACATTCCCATTATACCTAACTCAAGTTGGATGTTTCCTCAATTTCTAATGCTTTAGCAACAGAGATTTCTTCAAACTATCTATCTTAAATTATTCTTTTCAATAAGATTAGTCCATTACTACAATAAAATAACAGACACTTCAATATTTACATATTATAAATATTTTTTCATAGAAAATAATTTAATATTTACCTAAGTGAAAAAATATGTACTAATTTTAATTCATCACTCATCAACACATAACCTTTCCTTCAACATTTTATTTTTAATTAATGAAGTTATAATCTACATTCTACATAATTTAAAAATGTAGCTCCTATACAGGGTGTTTACGGTCTTGAGGTTGCAATTTAAATGAGATGGTATTTACGATAGAAGAAAACTAATAAGCTACATAAAACAAAAATTTACGTTGTGAAAGGAAATAATTCATTTTATATTATTTGTTTGAGAACTGCTGCTGCGACTGCAACAATGGCCATTAGTGTCATTCCTTGTGTTTCACTGTAAATCATAATCACAACAACCAATTTATTGGTTGTATTGTTCATAAATTTGGAAAAAAACTAAGAAAAACGAATCAAACCTATTGGAAACCAGTTCACTAGAAGAGACGTTACAAAAGATCATCGAATTTTGACAAAAACTAAAGCAAAAGCAAATCAAATGATGACAGTGTCAAAACTATGAAGTGACTTTTCTCTTTCATTGTCATTTTATTTATTACAACAATACAATTTTATCTAAACAAAGAAATAATTCCAGTGAGCCTCAAACCATGTACCAATATTTTGGAGTTAAATAACTTTTTTAATAATAACAATTGTGTGATTTTGTTTCTCGATGACAGTGTTTCTGTACGGTTTTATTACTAGGTCAGTTTTCAAATCCAAGATCGTAAACACCCTGTATTTATTTTATTATTTTTTTAATAAATAAATCAGAACTAATATGAACATTGTAAATAGAAGTATTTTTGCTTAAATATCAGTTGGACAAAAAACTATTTTGATGCAATAATGACAAATTGTTTACATTTGAAAAAAAAGTATCAAGAGTACTCACTATGTTATGTATATTTTACGATGGATTTCATAATCGACTTTTAAATTAAATTAAAAAAAACAAGTGTGCAATTTTAGACAAATTACCTATGTGATTCATATCATAAGCTATTTGCTTATTTACCTACCTACCTACAAAATTGATCATGCTCTCTAATTAATTCTGCTAACATGAAACCATTATGAATAACAGTTATCAGAATAATGTGTTATGTGTTATTTCCATTTTTAGTTCGGAATCACAATTTTTTAAATTTAAATCAATAATAACAGCAACGTTTAACAAAAATTGATTTAAAGTTAATTAAAAAGGAAATTGTCTAAAATGTGTACCAGCAGTAAGAAATCCTAAAAAAAATGTGACAAAAATAAATGCTAAAAATAGTTTCTTCTGAGTTTTTTTTCATATTATCCAGTCAAAATAACAAAAGGTGACAATAACTTAAATCAATAAAAATGTGTAAGTGCTTTTCTGGAAAAAATCAAGTATGTATAGGTAATTCCATTCTTAAAATTTCGTCTCAAAAGTATATAAAATGCTGGCACCAACAAACATGCAACAGTTTGAAAATTAAGTGCATCAACGACAGATCAAAGCAACATGAAGACACTTACAGTAAGTTAACATTTTGTTATTTAAAATTGTAGTCAATAACATTTATCTTTTTGTTTAATAGGTGAGACATCTTTTTGCATTTGTTGTATTACTAGTTTTGGCCATGCTATCACACTCCAAATCTATAGCACCACTAATATCTAAGGGTGAATTAGCGACAGTAACCCCAAATAAAGAAACAGTTTTACCGATTCAAGCACCCAATGATAAAACCAACGAGAAAAAAGATGGAGAAATTATGGAAACTGCCAATGCGATTGTTTTCAGACCTCTGTTTGCTTATAGAAGGATGCAAAGTCAAAGAAGAAGGGTTTATGTGCCCAGAAGAAGACCTAGTTATTATTACTATTAAAAAATTAATGTTTAGTTTTAATTTATTTATTTATCTATTTATTTAATCTTATTTTTTATATTGAGTGTTTGTACCTCTCTACGATAATAAACTTGTAATATTTTAATACTGACATACATCTTCTTAAAGTTATTTAATATTTATTGTCTGAAATTAAATAAAAAAAAACAGTTGTTGGATGAGATAACCCACGACCACAGATTTTTAATACTACTTACTATTATTACCTATTTAAACCTATTTAAAATAACCTATTTAATTAAATAAAAGCAAATTTCATGAATGTCACAATCTCGCTAATAGAAATACAGGATTAGGCTTTGGCTATTACTTATTATAATTGCTATAACGCTATAAGTAATCTTGCAGATGTTACTTAAACAAGATTTTTTTAAATAAAAATAATAAATAAAATAGTGACACAATGGAAATAGAAATGTCCAGAGATACACATATACTTTATTGTCACTTTTTAATTGCTTCCATTTAATGTACATACCTATATGTTAAAACCAAGTAATTAACATATACTCTCCGTATTAATTTGAAACATCTTTTAGAAATTACTGTATCTTGAATAATATTAACCTTTTTCTTTTTCTTTTTTTAACCTTTTGGTATAGACAAGTATTTATTTAATAAAATTACATTTCATAAAGTAGTTTACTATTACGAGTATTATTCTTTGTTATTTTTTTTATTTTGGAATAATAATTTGGATTAGAAAATTTAACAAGGTGCAATAGAAAGTACTTCCCTCCAGTTTGGGATAACCGAAAGATGGGTCATTCTAATGACTATTTAATGTACCTATTCGCCCTTTCGTAGTTATAAAAGAACGTAATTCCGATTTTGAGTTCATTTAACATTGCTATTCTTGTAAGAAGCATTAGGCTTTAAATATCATGGAGTGGTTTAACTTAATATTCTTGGTAAACATTTTTTTTTAATTATTTTACATCAATTTAATTGTTTATTTTGTCACAGTTTGTCGGTTTGAGTACCGTCTCCTGCACAATCTACAGCACCGAAAACGAAGACGGCTCATACACCATCGGCCTAAACTCAGACTCCAGAGGCGAATCAGCAAGTTCAGTAGTGGCACTTTTAAGCAAATCCGCTGGATACACACTAAATGATGATTATCAAAAGCAAGTACCAGAAAATTATTTTCATCAAGAATCCCTAAAGGAACAACCAGCACTTGAATCACGAGGACTCCTAGAACCGCATTTAGAAATCTTGCAGTTGATAGAAGTTTTTCTCAAGTTTAAAGGAGAAGTGTTTTCCCGACTTCACGGCCTTGTGACTGACAACTACGATCTTATTCGCAGTGTTTACTCAACTCTCATCAACAAAATCGGAAATTTGCATTCTTTCACACTAACTGGTATCAGAATTTTACGGAAAGTTTTGGAATTTGCGACCGTTTTATTTGGTCAATGGCAAGTTAATTTGCCATCGTTTTCACCGGATTTGGGTATGGGAAATGAGGAAAGCAATCCTGGGGCACCGTTCAATTTTAGAAGAAATGGAAACTTTTTTAGAAATTAAAGTTTAATAAAACGTTCAGCTACAATGTAATATTTAACTTAATTTAATTTAATTTAATAAAAAAAGAATAATTGATAGTAGTTATCCATTGTATCCAAAATTGTAATGAATTTGTGGTGTTTCAAAGTCTTCCCAGTTGTTTCCGTGTGGGTATATTCTTCTTCCCGTCGATTTAGAGCTGTCAATTGGTCGTCTTTCGTATTTGTCGTATCCTAAAGCTTGTCTTGCACTTGGTATATTTGTAGGTGTGACCTTAGGGCCATAATTTATAGGTTCTTCAATGTTGGCACACTGGATTTTGTAAAAAAATAAAGCACAAGAAATGGAAATCCAGTATACCTAAAAATAACAAAACATTATTACATTAATATCCTTGCATGTGATACGAAAAAAATAGTCGTGTGCAAGCCTATAAAATTTTCCGTGAGATACTTAGACTTCTTGGATATTTTGTATTTCAAAGATTTGTCAAGATATAGCAAAAATCGCACTTCACTCGTACTTTCAAATTAATTTAAATTTTTTTCAATGAAGGGAATAAATGAATTAACGTAAATATCGTAAAAATTGTAGCAATATGATTGGACCGTTTAAGGTCGGCCATTAAAATAATGTAAAAAACCAATCACCTTAGATTTTTGGATTCATTCAAAATTTAATGCAATGATATGATTGGTCCGTTGGAAGTCGGCCATTACACAGGCCATTATTGTAATGTGAGTAACCATGGAGAAGATAAACCAATCACTTTAGACCATTTTTAAATTCAAAAATTGTCCCCCAATTGGTTAATTCTCATTTGCATACATTCGATAATGAAAATTGTGTGCTTTCTGTGACGGAGATTCGTACCTTACGTTTCGTTGTACTTGATTGGGAAATTTTAGGGAATCTGAATCTGAAAAGTGAAACATAACCTCACCATAAATTTTATCATCATTAATCTGACCTCACTTTTTTGGAGCCACGCGCTACACTCAAGGGAGGTACGAATATTCTTTTCAATCAGTTACAGAGGCTTACAGTACAATTTGCAATCTACAACCATTCCATCACAACATTGAGTTTAGTAAATACCTAATGATCACAAATCACGCCGCCTCCACCACACGTTTTCGTACTTTTCGTCAAATATCAACTGGCTTCAATGGGCGTAACGGAGCTTTTCAACTTTTCAGTATTCCGAACAACCAGTAGGTAAGCTTCTTATTATTTACATCATAAGTCACCAGACGAAAAAGTAAGAAGATATATTTTTTTCCTACGACCATATACGAAACTTGACCATAACGCACAATTACATATGCGCGAAAATTGGCAATATCGTACGAGGTCAGAAACCTGTGCGATTTGTTTTCGCGCTGTGTGTTAGAAATCTAACGCACAATTCACTCTCAAATGTTTTCTATTTTTTCATTTAACGTATTTTTTTTTCTATCCATTATAAAAAATAAATCGTTATTCAACGTATTTTTGTATCCATTATAAAAAATAAATCGTTATGAAAAAAAAATATGTTCGTAAGAAAAAAAGTATTTATGGTCGTAGGAAAAATAGTGTACAAAACTTGCAGGAAAGTGTCTAACGCACTCGCGCAACTTTTCCGCTTGTGCGTTATTTATCACTTCCGTGCTCGTTATGTAACAACCAAAAACAAAACAGTCTTGAAATTAATTTTTATTAAATGCTTTTAGATTTTGTTTTAGACTCTTCGAACACTTCTGTCATGTCATATAGGTACTGTTTTATACTATTATAATTCTATTCTGTGTAAAACTACAATCTTCGAAATACCCTTTGTCATCGAATTACCAAGTTCAAATCGATCGGTTTACTAGTTTACTTTCTAAAATATTCCAATCTTAATGGAAAAATGCATTACCTAGACAGTTTTATTTCAAATAGGTTGGTATCAAAATTTACACTTAATTTTTAAATCGCTGTAACTTATGTATTCTACGTAGGTATGTATGAACTTATTACATATACTTTATTATTATATTATTATAGATATTATTAAAAAAAATTGCAAGACTGTAGAAAGACGTGTACAAAATTATTACATATTTTCATAAAGCATGTTGGTGGACTTTTATATATTTTTGTATTTTATATTTATTAGCGATTTATGTTTGTGCTAGAAATTTAGTCCAAGATTTAAAACCCTAAAAATCAGATGAATATGCGGTCTTTAAATAATTACTTTTTCATTACTAAATAAATATACAAAATGTAAACTTAAAAGTTTGAAATAGAATTTGAATATTCAAGCAAGAAGAAAATTTTCATGTGATATGTACTTTATAACTTAATAAATAATTAAGTGAATACTGAAAAACTCATAGTAAATTTTGCACAGCTAATAATAATTAAGGTGTTACATACACACTAAAACTTACAAGATGCATATTTGTGCAAAAATCTGTAACTACGATGCATACACTACTAGCTATTTCACTGATATATTGCAACTGACGTTTTTTTCATATCTATTACATCTTCACTCTGAATAAATTAAATATTAATTACAACTTTGTGTATAAATAATTCTTGAGAACGAGGAGCGGCTATGTTTCTAATTTGTTAGACGAAACATAAATTAAATAAAATCGACATATGAAATTGCACAATTCTCTAGACAGCTTACACGGTTGTTACTTGTGTGTACTAGATGACCAAATTGCTCCAAAATTTATTAAATCTTGATATTTTACCCTTTCAACTAAACTTGTCCTTCGGCAAAATGAAGTAATACCCATAGTTCTAATAATACCTAATTATGTAGCGGGGAGTCTGATGAAATGATTATTTTAATAGCTGCTGTTTTTGAATTCATTATTATAGTGTAATACATATTCAAATTGTTTTATGATTATTTCAGAAAAGACACTGAAAATTCTGTCTTGAATTTATTATTTTGTATTTACTGTCACGTATTTTTTCAAAATACCTAATAAACATTAAGTTATCAATAAGTAATAAAAAAGCCAGAATATAGAATGATATAATTATTTATATTTAAATTCAAGGTAATTATCTTTAACTTAGCATAAATCATTGTTGCCTAGTAAAAACGTAAAACTACTGATTATTCTTGTTTAAAAATGCTAAATTGTTATTATATTATACAAACCTTACGAATGTTAATTGATATTTTTTAAAACTAATTTATTCCCACAACTTTTCCAAACAAATAAAAATACAAGAGAATCACACAAGCTTGTGGTTCAATATCATCAAATAAAAACAAAATAAAATCTTGTAAAACTTGTCTCATTCAGTGAGAATTTACGTTTTAAGATATTTTGGCGGTCTGAATGGTGTCGGGCATCTACCCCATAGTCGTATTTTATGCAAAAATGAGCTTTTTATTTAAATCTCAATAATAAAAACTTAACTAAACACATTTTTACATTAACAAGTTTAATAATAAATAACAATTATACAAAATTACTACGTGAAATTTAGAAATAGATACTTTTTAGTCACGTTTTTGGTCCAAAATTTTCCTAAATTGAGAATAACAATAAGAGTAAAATATATATATTGTCCAGATGTGCAAATTTCTGATACGGCGATCCCAATTAACATTTTTATGTTTTAAAAGTACCACATCTTATCCTTCCAATATACCTGAAACGAGTTTCCAAAATATTTGGCCGAGACATAATGGCCCAAGCGATAAAAACTTTTTTTTATTACAAGTCCAAACTCCCTATAAAAACAAATATTCCCTTAAAAATACCACAGTCACATCCAGACACTCACCCAGAATGGCGCACTTTTTCGTAAGTAAATTTTAATTTCTGTAAATCCCCTGTAACAAATTTTCAGGTTTTCACGCTCTTTGTCGTTACAATTGCCACAACCCTTGCTGCTACAACCCACCCCACCCATGGTGGTATAGACATCCACAACGAAAAACCCAGGCCAGAACATCACCATGAAGAACAGCACCAAGGCGAGCATCACCGTGAGGAGCAAAAACCTGGAGAACATCACCAGGGAGAACACCATCGTGAAGAACAAAGGCCCGGACAACATCATGGTTCTGGGGAACATCATCAAGAACAAAGACCTGCAGGACATCATCAAGGAGGTGAACATCATCGCGAAGAACAGAGACCTACAGGGCATCATCAAGGAGCAACTGGAGAACATCATCGAGAGGAACAGAGACCTACAGGGCATCATCAGGGAACAACTGGAGAACATCATCGAGAGGAACAGAGACCGACAGGACAACATCATGGAGGAACTGGTGAGCATCAACGCGAAGAGCATAAACCAGGACAAGGGGAACATCATCATGGGCAATAATTTTAAACTAATTTGTATCAATAAATGGCGAGAGTATTCATGAATATATCACTTGAAATGATTTGTTGGTCTTTTAATTCGACATAACCTTGATCATTTACGGATGACCTTCGCAAAACAGCTTCTTTCGTCTAAAAATCATCATTAATACCAACATATAGTGCATCGACGTTTTTAAATTTTATGGTTACTCGAAGAAACCAGCAAGACAAGTATTTATATTGTTCCTTAATTTATGCATGTGTTAAAATGGTAATTTTGCCCTTTAATTTACGTCTGGTGTATAAAAGAAACAACTCTCACTCTGTGTTAAGCACAATCGAATAATGAAGTCTAATTTGGTAAGGTACAAATTATTTAGTGAGTTTTGTTAAATTCCTGATTGTAGATGATCATTTTTCTTTTGGCTGTGGGAGTTGCATTGGTGGTTTCTTCACCTATTGGTTAGTGAATTTTAATCTTTTGCTCTAGTTATTTATACGAATCTTTAGGTGACGAACCAAAATCAGAAACTTCTTCTTCATTGCCCGGAAGTGTTAACAATAATGGAAACGTAGGAGTTAATGCTGGTTCATCTGGTCAACCTGGAAGATATGGCCAACAAGATCATGGAAAAACAAAAGTGTAACTTTATGTGATGCTTTAACATTAATAAAAACGCAAAAATGTAATTTTTTATTTTAAAATAATAAAAAAATCTCCCCGGCGGGGAATCGAACCCCGGTCTCCCGCGTGACAGGCGGGGATACTAACCACTATACTACCGAGGATTATACTAAAACACTCAGAATTCTGCTATTTCCTAGATATTATTTAAAGTTAATGATTTTCTTAAAAAATATTTACTTATATATTTAAAATTACAATGTACGACTAGTTATTCGCAGCCCATGATTTTTTCTATCATCAATCGGAATTTTCTATTTATAAATAGCCAATAAGTTGCGCTTGCGCATCCACCTGTGACCAATTTTGCTACATTTTGGTTTATTTAATCAGTTGGGAAAATTACTGTAAATGATCGAACTCTAAACTCCAATTCAAAATCCAAATTTTTGTGCAACTGTGAGTATTGCAGGTGCATTCCCCAAACCGTCACTGAAAACCGTCACAATTTTTAGGTTATCTCGACTCAGAAATGAATTTCTCCAATATTTTTAATAGAACATTGTCTAGCACTATTGCAAGAACACCGTCTATTCGATTTAGATATGGGGCTTCACGTGACCAGAAAGCAGCGCCTTCCGGCTCAACAGCGGCCCCTTTGACATCACCTGGAGCTGCTTCCCAACCTGGTGAAGCGATTTACGACTTTCAAATACCCCAAAGGTGGAGAAGACGTCCGCTTAGTGATGAGGAAATTGCCTATATTAACAGGGGAGGTCCTGAATAAACTCTGCGAAGTATTTAAATCCCCAAGAAGTCTTGGGTGTAAGTAATGTAGTTAATGTAATTGTAATTCATGTCATCATTGTTAATTGTTTCATTTAATATAATTATTTAAAAAAGTATAGTTTTTATTCACAAAATTACATAATTACAAATCAGCGGTGACAAGTTGATATCTATTGGCGCCTTTATTCAAAATAAAACCTTGGATATTCAAACTTTGTAAGACATTGTAAAACTTTGAATTGTTAATTCCGGCGTCTTTAGATAAATCTCTGATTTCATTTGTTGTAAAAATTGATTTACTTTCTTCTTCAGCCTTTTGCTGCATCAATCTTAATAATTTCATGATCTAAAATTTTACAAATAAAAATGTTATATAACAATGATTAAACAACATATTACTTGATTTTTGGTGCTCATTCCTGCCCCATTTTGAGAGCGAGTGGTGTCCAAAGTTCCATCATTATCAGTAAATATGTCTACCAACGTTTCTTTCATAATTTCTACAACGTCTAAAGCGTCCTCTCTAGTGGCTTCTTCTCTTAGTTCAGCCTTAGCTCTAGCCTATAATAAACATAAATGTTTTAAAAATATTATTATTTGCAAGATTTTGCATCACTAATATACCCACCTGAGTCAGTCTTATCAAAGAATTTAGTTGTCTGGTTGTAATAGGGGTACTGTCTCCGCTTTGGAACTGCTTCCGCAATTGCAAATAAAAATCTTTCAATACTTGTTTAGCTTCATGTGATAGATGTGGATTGACATATTTTTGAGCATAAGCTATATATTTTCTGAATAAGGAGTGGGATAAAGAATCAATTTCCTCCTCGTTTTGAAGAGACAAGCGCCCCCTGAGAAAAAAACAATAGTTTGCAAAGTTTAATAAGAGTCCCTTTTGCATTAGTTTTTTTTTATTAGATGCTAGTGGGCAGTATTGTAGGAAGTTAATACCAAAACAAAAATATTGTTTTTGTATTTTTTTAACTTTTTGAAAAATTAAAATGATTTTTGTGTAACTGTAAAATCGTTTTTTCGTTTTATTGATGTGAAAAATTTAATTTAATATTCAATCTTATTTACCTTAAGGAGTTGTTAGCATGTTGCAACATCAACCTTGGATTCCTCGACGTATTTGAGCCATTTCGACTAGTATGCAAAGCGAGGATATGTTCCGATAGCCTCATATCCAACTCCTCAAAAATTATTATAAGCATCGATTTAATAAAGTGTCTCAAACAAACCTTATTCGGCTGATCGAGAAGTATAAAAATCAAATCAAATCGCGACAACATTGGAGAACCAATTTTCAAATTTTCTGCAATCGTTTTAGCTTTATTGTAATGTCCCCCTGCTGGATTTGCAGCCGCTAGAATAGTGGCACGCGTTGGTAAAGTACAAACGATTCCTGCCTTAGCGATACTGATACTCTGTTGCTCCATAGCTTCTAAAAGACACTAACATGTTCTCAAGTTAGTATTTAGAAAACAATTTAAGTGAAACGTACAGCATGTTGTGTGGGCATTTTATCAAACTCGTCTATACAACAACATCCCTGATCGGCCAACATAAGCGCCCCTGCTTCTAGCGAATATTCGCCTTTTGCCTCTCTAGTCAAAGTAACAGTCAATCCCGACCCTGTACTTGTATTACCACAAACGTACACACCTCTAGGGGCCACGTTCACACAAGCTTGTAGCATCTGGGATTTACCGAGTCCAGGGTCGCCAACCATCAAAACGTGAGACTCGGCTCGGAATTTCGGCGATTTTGTGCCGCCAAAGAGGGCAAGAAGGAGGCCTGCTTTGACGATTTCGTGGCCGTAAATGGTGGGGCACAGCGAGTGGACGAGGAAACGAAACAGATACGGCTCTGCATGGATTTTCTGGAAATAATGACTTGAATGTTTGACTGTTGCGAAAAATAAAATTTTGTTCTTATTTAACTCTTTCAGGTACACACTTTAATGTATTTAAAATACCGTACAGGTACAGCTATTTACTGGATTTTAAAAACAATCATTTTTCAAGTTGTTTTAAAAAATAGGAATTAAAATAGCACTAACGACACTTTTTCATCGGTCTATGACCGATTAAAATTAAAACTTAAAAAAAATAAAATTAAAAATTCAGTGCCACCATTTATGACTTTTTCAATTGAGTACAGTGACCGACAGTGAATTTTGTCCAACCACTAAAAGTGTAAATTAGTCTTTAGGTTTTTTTAACCTATTTTGAGAACTTTGATGAACATTTATCATGATGTGCCCGATATTCCTTTCATACTACTAATGTTAAGCGAAAGTGGTTACCTAAATAGGCTGGAAATGCTCAATGACGTCACGAAGCCTACTAGTCGAAATAGGATATTTGCCTGATAAACCCAAGGATCGAGATTCTAATCCCAATGAAAGAATTTTATTTTGTTTTGTTTTTTTCCTCTTTGTATTTATAATAATCATTATCCATTGTGTGTATACTCTCAAAAAACAATTCAATTTTTTTTAAGTTAAAATAAGTATCATAAAAACGTAGGTATTTCAAATTAATTAATAAATTGTATAGTTTTCATAATAATTTTAAGTTCATTGATTGTAAATAAAAAAATGTGGTAAACTCTACAAGAATAATGTCTGTATTATTAAAAATATTACCATTAATGAGCAAAACTGCTCAAAAATATAAATTAAGATGAGTTAAAAAGGTGAGTTAAATTTTAACCCACCGTCCCTAATGTAAGTTTAAAACATGTTACATGGTTACTTATTGCTTAAAAGTCAACATTTGCCGCCATTTTACTTTACGAATTTCTATTTTTTCTTGTTAAAAAAAGTTTAAATTTAGACATTCTGAAAATCAAAATTTATTTCTTTAAACACTAATTGCACAATTTTTTTAATGTTAATTGTTTTTGTGTATTTTTTTTGCAAATTAACGCATAAATTTAGACAATTTAGATTTCGAAACAACTTGTTTAAAGGAGTTGATTGAATTGATTTTAAAAATAGAGTTGCAATGTTTATGTTTCTAAATCCTTATTTGCAAAATTGTTATATTGTAACTTTTTCAGAATAGGAAATGAACACTTTCACAGTTTACTTGGAAAATATTTAAAAAAAATCATCTTTGGTTTTGTTCTATAGTTTTGGGAGACTCTATCAATAACTAATTATTTTTGAGATGAAAATAAGAAAAGTCAGTAGTGTCTTGTTTTTTAAATATGAGCATATGATATAGCAAATCACTCTTACTAACTTGAATTGCGTAATAGTCAGTTATATTGAATTTTATCCGTTCAGAAGCTCCGTAAGTACCCTCATTTTCATTTTTGTTGTTTACAACTGAAACCACGTCCAAATAAAGGAGAAAAACACTATTTTGATTATTTTTGTTCGAAGCTTCTGCATTATTACGCACCTAAAACGATACTTTTAACTAAATGAACACCAAATTCTGAATGAAAATACTTTTATCACGCCTGTTATCGTTATGTCATCTCCTGGAACACAAGAATTCACAAGATCTTCCGTCAATTCACATTCCAAAGTTCTAGGGACACGGCCGTTTTCAAACTGAAAATTTGTATATTAAGTTATTATAATTCCTACAGGCAATATTAAAAACCTCATCATTTCCTATTAATTCTTGAATTTTTATGTATTGCCAACTAATTGTTCGGGTGAAGGAGGACGAATGCAAAGCTTGAAAATTTGAATGGGCTTTGCAACCGTCTGTTAAACATTTATTTGGGGCAGTGAAAATGTTGTCTGGCTGTTTAAGAACTTGAATTCCTGTACAAATCGCACATGAAAACGCCATGTATTGGTACATAATTTTAACATTAGATGCCTTTATCACAGTGCCTTTGAGTGAAATTAATCGTCCTAAAATATAGTTGTGATGATGGAGCCTCATGTTGTATAAAACTACCATAATTATTCACGCGTATGTCTCTGATTTGTTGTATGGGTTCATGATTGATCAATCTGGCCCTAATTACCCCCAAACATTTTTTCATAAAGGTGCGATCTTCCGAATCGTTATCTATATTTTCATAGTCCATGATACACTGGTGCATGGCTAAACCCATGCAGTTTAAACAAAATTCTGTGTTCGTAATTATCTGCGTTTCTAAATCTTTCCATCTCTCACACAGTTCATCCTCCTTTGAAGTTATAAGTTTGTAATCAATCACAAAGCATTTTTGGGCCTCTATTTCAGGTAATGAGAAATTGTCCCTGTGACGTTTAATGAAATTTTCAAAGTGCAACACATATTTAAGAAGGGTCTCATCTTTGGTATCGTCTGAAATTTCTACTGCTTTACAAATCTTCAGTGATGGAGATAGGAATTCTCACCTGCTTCAGGGAAGTAAAGTTTAAATCCGTAATAGCCATATTTTGGTTCATTGTTAAAGTTAACAGCGGCACTAACCAGGTTTAAGTTAATTTGTGGAGGCTTCTTCTTGAACCACGGGCGCTCATTCTTATTCATATTTGATTATTTCATAGAAAATAACTTTTTTAAAGCTCAAATAATCAGTTTCTAACTTTCCTGAAGAGGTTAGGTTGTGATTGTTGTGGTAACAAACATCGCCGTCTTGATAGAATAATAAACTTCAGGTTGCCTCGTAACTTTGCACCAATCACGTGTGCGCATTATTCGCGCGAATTGACGTCACTGGAGGTTTCATTCAAAAATAGGATATGCAACCAAACATATTATTAAGTTAAAAAACTAGAATTCCGTAAAATAAATACTGATAAATTTTTTTTATTAAAGGTAAAATAAATCAAATATATACATTGATTGATAAAAAAATATAAATTTATTTTGTTAAAATTGCAATATTTTAATTTATGATCTTATTCATTTTTTTTTTTATTAGTTTATCAGAAATTTTCTCGATAACTATTTGTCGCAGAACACTGATCTTTTTTGTGTATGTTATAAAATCAAATTTTCTTTCCAATGGTACCAAACATAAGCGGTTATCACCAAGAAGTCCGAAGTTATTATAAATAGACCGCTCCGGGTGCCAAAAATCGACTAAAATCTCTACAAAAATCAAAAAAAATTTAACGTTAAAATCGATCCATATAACGTTTTTATATCGAGCGATCAAGATAATTTGTAATCGAGTCATCCTTGGATCCGAAAACGTATGTCTGTAAAATGTCAAGTCGAAAGAGCAGACATACGTTCTCGGATGCATAGAAGACTCGATTACAAATTATCTTGATCGCTCGATATTTCTAGTGATCTTAAAAACTCAAAAAAGTGTACAAAACTTTATTGGGTTAAGTTTAAAAACTTACGAATTTTTTGAGTTTAAAAACGCTTGAAATATAATTTTTTTCGACGTAAAATTACCCGCTGAACACGATGCAACAGGTTAAAATACTCTGCGATGCATAGTTTTTGCGATATTGAGTAATAACGCTAAGAATAATGCTAGAAGCATACAGTTGGAGACAAAATACTTTGGTCGTCACTTTTCTGACACTTTAATGTAATTTAAGCTTTAACGTTAAAATGAATGACAATTTCAAATTAATGACAGCTATTATATTTTCCTATCAAAAATATGTACATACAACTTTTCAACTATGATTGTCAGTAGCTAAAAATAAGGTTAACAGTCCTAAAGCATGCTTTACAATTTAATGTCACTCAAGTGACATTGACGACCAAAATATTTTGTCTCCAACTGTACAGTTTTTCTGACACTTTAATTTAATTCAAGCTTTAACGTTAAAATGAATGACAATTTCAAATTAATAACAGCTATTATATTTTCCTCTCAAAAATATGATTGTATGATTGACAGTGGCTAAAAATAAGGTTAACAGTCCTAAAGCATGCTTTACAATTAAATGTCACTCAAGTGACATTGACGACCTAAGTATTTTGTCTCCAACTGTACAAGATCTATAAAGGAAAATAATGCAAGATACAACACAATAATTTTTCTTCTTCTTGGATCTTCTTGGTATGGAAACTATGAAGTTTTATTTTTTCTCACCTGAGGATGACCACTTTGTGGTTGAAACGCGTTGTGCTATTAAAATAAAAGTTTGGTGCGACGGGCTAATCGTGTTTTTGTTCAACACAATAATAATAACACAAATCTGAAATCTGACATAAGGTGATCAACTTCAGACAATTCAAAATCAAAATTGACGACAAAAAGAAGACTTTAAGTTGAAAAATACTACTGTTTTAGCTAAAACAGCTAAATAAATAGCTGCAAATAAAAATCTCAAAAAATTGCACACTTAGGTGTGTTGGTGCTTAAATCTGGACAAATCAGGACATAAATGTAAAACAAGACAAGACAATAAAAACCTAAACATGTCCCGGCTAAATCAGGACTTTGGTCCCCTTAAGGATGTCCGCGACCAACGATTCGAGACGTTAGCATATTGAAAACAAGATTACTCACTTAATATACAACAGAATTTCAAGTATTATACATCAAAGTAAAGGTTTTTTAATTCTACAGGCCGATACGTTGAGATTAAAAAAAAAATACCTTTCAAAAAAGAACAAAAATGCATAAATGTTGAACTTGAAAAAACTTTATTCAGTCATTTTTCAAGTAATCGATCTTAGTTTTTGTAGGATAATTTAAAAGAATATTCTATAGGCCGATGCGTTGGCATTTTTTTGAAAAAGTGTTTTGTTTTTGATATATTGTGATTGATGCAAAAGTCACGATATTTAACGGTAGACCTAAAGATTCGTTTTAGGGTTTTGGTATTTATTACAAAATATTAATTCTTAACTAATTCAACAAACACCCATGTAATAAAACACTGTTGTTTTTAAATTATTAATAAATATATTTTGCCCTAAATTGCCTCCTAGTTCATTACTTTTACCACTAGAGGCGTTGCCAGTGCCGCTTCTGCCCTCGTCCCGACCCAAGCAAAGGACCTATTTCGGTCAGCTTTATCATGTAATTAGCATAATACTAATCAGTAATCAGTTAATATTATTACAGAACTAGAAGCAGAAACGTTTGACGTAAAATGAAAAAACAAACAAATTTTGTAGATAATCAAATATTATTAGTGTAGGACGGATTTTGAGCGGCCAATCTTTTTTTTTCTCTCTCATTTTTAATTTTATTATTCGACATATGGTTTTAGTGTAGTGTGTAAATAATTAGGGCAATTAGTTAGTAAAGTTCTGAAAAGACCCCGAGACTTTTATTTCAAGAAACATAAACACTTGAGCTTAATTTATGAGTTAGTCAGGGTGATAAGCAAGCCACCCCAAGTTGACCGTGAGAACGACGCCTTCGAATCTGCATATGAGTTTTTAGTCTTCACCCACACTTTAGAGGGGTAGCTTGAAAGTAAGCAAAGTGTAAAAGTGTAATTAAGTTAATTAAAGGTGAGTTTGTCACTGAGTAATCTGGGTTCCATTGGTGTGAGTGAGTTATCACTGAATAATCTTGGTTCTATTGGTGTGTGATGTTTTCCAATCCAGTAAGGTGTAGAGATTTATGATAATTACCATATCAACGGTAGGGTGAGTCGTTTAATAATTATTTTGATTGCTGTGATGTTGATATTTATCATTGTTGATCACATTCGTCAGAAACCTGTGTGAGTATTGAGTACAGTATCAAACTGTAGTTGATTTGATGCACTATAAATCAGTTGATGGTATTTAACTTGATGATATTGAAGTTGATGGTATTTGATGAGATTGATATTTAAATACTTGAATTGATAATTGATGAATATTATTGAGTTGAGCCCCGACATGTCGAGCTAAACTGTGTTAGTCTGTCTATTCCTTATTAATCCAAGGTTAAGCTTGAGGCGGGGCGGCGTACTTAAATGCCCATTGCACGCCGAGATTAACCCAACAGGGGACGCTGGAGGATCGCGGCGTCGTGAGGCCTCCAGGTCTGGTTTCTGTTTGTTTGTGGACACGG